TTACAACCTTCTATGAAGCTTTTAAGATCAGGATTGGCATTATAGTTTAGCGTTTTATATATGTATAATACACATGAGAGAATGTGCAGTGACTTAATATCTAACATATTCAGAGATTTGAGTAGGGGTACCGAGTGATGTCTGGGGCCAGAGTTGGATATTGTTCTAATAGCAGCTTTGTGTTGGGTAATTAGAGGACGTAAGTGATTTTGGGTAGTAGAACCCCAAGCACAAATACCATAGTTGAGATAAGGATAGATAAGGGAGTAATAGAGAGTCACCAGGGCAGGGCGTGGTACATAATATCTGATCTTAGAAAGAATGCCCACAGTTTTTGAAACTTTTTTTGATATATTTAGAATGTGTCCCTGGAAATTCAGCTTGTGGTCAATGAGAATGCCAAGGAATTTGCCATCTAATTTGTTACAAATTTGGGTATTGTTTATTTTGAGATTTATATGACTAGAGGATTTATTGCCAAACAGAATATAGAAAGTTTTGTCAATGTTAAGGGTGAGTTTGTTGGCAGTTAGCCAAAGATGGACTTTATTTAGCTCAGTATTTACTGTGGCATTTAGAGCAAGAGGGTCAGGACTGGAGTAAATGAAGGTTGTGTCGTCAGCAAATAGAATTGGTTTGAGGTGTTGGGGGGCATTTGGAAGGTCATTAATGTAGATGAGAAAGAGGAGAGGGCCAAGTATGCTGCCCTGAGGAGGCAGCATATTCCTTCTTCCTTGGCGGCTCGGCCTCTGGCCTGGGGTTATTTTCTTCTTCAAATACATATCAGGCTTCCCCAGTCACTATGTATTTTCCGCCGCCTGATTATTCTCCAGCTAGGGTTTCCCTTATGTTATGTTGTTCACTTTGGTGTCCTGTTATACTTAGAATTAGATTTGTTACATTCGCCTCACTGCTAATTCTAGACAATAGGACATTAGGTTTCTGCAGAGTTTGTTAGTAGGCTATAAGATTACGTTATTTTACTACGGGTGTACGATTTAAGATGTTTCGTGTACTTTGAGTTAGCCACGGCTATGTTATACATTTGTTAAGACCTACTTAGAAGCCTGTTTTACTTCTGTAGAATTATTTATCCTGTCTAATAAATTTACGCCCCCATGTGTTGGTGTCTTCCTTCCCCTGATCAGAAACCTAACTTTTTCGGCAACCTAACCTAACCTAACCTATTAAGATAGGTTAGGTTAGGTTAGGTTAGGGAGGGTTGGTTAGGTTCGGTCATATATCTACGTTAATTTTAACTCCAATAAAAAAAATTGACCTCATACATAATGAAATGTGTAGCTTTATCATTTCATAAGAAAAAATTAGAGAAAATATATTAATGCAGCAAAACTTGGCTTATTAGGCAAATCGTACCTTGCATAGTAGGCTGAGAAGTGCGTTCTGGCTACTAGGTACGACATATATATATATATATATATATATATATATATATATATATATATATATATATATATATATATATATATATATATATATATATATATATATATATATATATATATATATATATATACATATATAATATATATAATATATAGAAATATGAGTAGATGGATGGATAGATAGTTGGATGTATAGTTGGATAGATATATGGATAGATGGAGAGATTGATCGGAGCCCATCATGAAGTCCCCACCTGAAGAAACACATAAGGAAACTGGAAAAGGTTCAGAAGTTTGCAAAGAGACTCGTCCCAGCGTTGCGAGGGATGGGGTATGAAGGGCGACTGAAGGAACTGAACCCGATGACACTAGAAAAAAGGAGGGAGAGGGGAGATATGATAGAAACATATAAAATACTTAGCGGGATTGAGAGTGGAAATAGACGAAATGTTAATCCTGTATACTAACATAATAAGGGGACAGAGATGGAAGCGGGAAACTCAGATGAGTCACAGATATGTTAGGAAGTTTTCTTCTAGCGTGAGAGTAGCGGGAAAATGGAATGCACTTGGGGAACAGGTTGTGGAAGCAAACGTTATTCATAATTTTAAAACTAGATATGATAGGGAATTAGGACCGGGGAGTTATTGCTGTAAACAACCGATGGCTAGAATGGCAGGATCCAAGAGTCAATGCTCGATCCTGCAGACATTAATAGGTGAGTACACACAAGGGGCGTCACTCACCGTCTGGTACACACAGGGGGCGTCACTCACCGTCTGGTACACACAGGGTGCGTCACTCACCGTCTGGTACACACAGGGTGCGTCACTCACCGTCTGGTACACACAGGGGGCGTCACTCACCGTCTGGTACACACAGGGGGCGTCACTCACCGTCTGGTACACACAAGGGGCGTCACTCACCGTCTGGTACACACAGGGGGCGTCACTCACCGTCTGGTACACACAAGGGGCGTCACTCACCGTCTGGTACACACAGGGGGCGTCACTCATCGTCTGGTACACACAGGGGGCGTCACTCACCGTCTGGTACACACAGGGGGCGTCACTCACCGTCTGGTACACACAGGGGGCGTCACTCACCATCTGGTACACACAAGGGGCGTCACTCACCGTCTGGTACACACAGGGGGCGTCACTCACCGTCTGGTACACACAGGGGGCGTCTCTTACCGTCTGGTACACACAGGGGGCGTCACTCACCGTCTGGTACACACAGGGGGCGTCACTCACCGTCTGGTACACACAGGGGGCGTCACTCACCGTCTGGTACACACAGGGGGCGTCACTCACCGTCTGGTACACGCAAGGGGCGTCACTCACCGTCTGGTACACACAAGGGGCGTCACTCACCGTCTGGTACACACAGGGGGGTCACTCACCGTCTGGTACACACAGGGGGCGTCTCTCACCGTCTGGTACACACAGGGGGCGTCACTCACCGTCTGGTACACACAGGGGGCGTCACTCACCGTCTGGTACACACAGGGGGCGTCACTCACCGTCTGGTACACACAGGGGGCGTCACTCACCGTCTGGTACACGCAAGGGGCGTCACTCACCGACTGGTACACACAGGGGGCGTCACTCACCGTCTGGTACACAGGGGGCGTCACTCACCGTCTGGTACACACAGGGGGCGTCACTCACCGTCTGGTACACACAAGGGGCGTCACTCACCGTCTGGTACACACAGGGGGCGTCACTCACCGTCTGGTACACACAGGGGGCGTCACTCACCGTCTGGTACACACAAGGTGCGTCACTCACCGTCTGGTACACACAGGGGCGTCACTCACCGTCTGGTACACACAGGGGGCGTCACTCACCGTCTGGTACACACACGGGGCGTCACTCACCGTCTGGTACACACAAGGTGCGTCACTCACCGTCTGGTACACACAGGGGGCGTCACTCACCGTCTGGTACACACAGGGGGCGTCACTCACCGTCTGGTACACACAAGGTGCGTCACTCACCGTCTGGTACACACACAGGGGGCGTCACTCACCGTCTGGTACACACAAGGGGCGTCACTCACCGTCTGGTACACACAAGGTGCGTCACTCACCGTCTGGTACACACAGGGGGCGTCACTCACCGTCTGGTACACACAGGGGGCGTCACTCACCGTCTGGTACACACAGGGGGCGTCACTCACCGTCTGGTACACACAGGGGGCGTCACTCACCGTCTGGTACACACAAGGGGCGTCACTCACCGTCTGGTACACACAAGGTGCGTCACTCACCGTCTGGTACACACAGGGGGCGTCACTCACCGTCTGGTACACACAGGGGGCGTCACTCACCGTCTGGTACACACAAGGTGCGTCACTCACCGTCTGGTACACACACAGGGGGCGTCACTCACCGTCTGGTACACACAAGGGGCGTCACTCACCGTCTGGTACACACAAGGTGCGTCACTCACCGTCTGGTACACACAGGGGGCGTCACTCACCGTCTGGTACACACAGGGGGCGTCACTCACCGTCTGGTACACACAAGGGGCGTCACTCACCGTCTGGTACACACAAGGTGCGTCACTCACCGTCTGGTACACACAGGGGGCGTCACTCACCGTCTGGTACACACAGGGGGCGTCACTCACCGTCTGGTACACACAGGGGGCGTCACTCACCGTCTGGTACACACAGGGGGCGTCACTCACCGTCTGGTACACACAGGGGGCGTCACTCACCGTCTAGTACACACAGGGGGCGTCACTCACCGTCTAGTACACACAGGGGGCGTCACTCACCGTCTGGTACACGCAAGGGGCGTCACTCACCGTCTGGTACACATAGGGGGCGTCACTCACCGTCTGGTACACACAGGGGGCGTCACTCACCGTCTGGTACACACAGGGGGCGTCACTCACCGTCTAGTACACACAGGGGGCGTCACTCACCGTCTGGTACACACAGGGGGCGTCACTCACCGTCTGGTACACACAGGGGGCGTCACTCACCGTCTGGTACACACAGGGGGCGTCACTCACCGTCTAGTACACACAGGGGGCGTCACTCACCGTCTAGTACACACAGGGGGCGTCACTCACCGTCTAGTACACACAGGGGGCGTCACTCACCGTCTGGTACACGCAAGGGGCGTCACTCACCGTCTGGTACACACAGGGGGCGTCACTCACCGTCTAGTACACACAGGGGGCGTCACTCACCGTCTGGTACACGCAAGGGGCGTCACTCACCGTCTGGTACACAGGGGGCGTCACTCACCGTCTAGTACACACAGGGGGCGTCACTCACCGTCTAGTACACACAGGGGGCGTCACTCACCGTCTGGTACACGCAAGGGGCGTCACTCACCGTCTGGTACACACAGGGGGCGTCACTCACCGTCTGGTACACACAGGGGGCGTCACTCACCGTCTGGTACACACAGGGGGCGTCACTCACCGTCTAGTACACACAGGGGGCGTCACTCGCCGTCTAGTACACACAGGGGGCGTCACTCACCGTCTGGTACACACAGGGGGCGTCACTCACCGTCTGGTACACACAGGGGGCGTCACTCACCGTCTGGTACACACAGGGGGCGTCACTCACCGTCTGGTACACATAAGGTCGGCGCTTCTCCACCGACGCTCCGCATTCCTCAATGGTGTTTTTGTGGGCGGAGATAACTAGAGTGAGGGAGGCCAGGTGAGGCCGTACCTCAACCTCCCCCACGCCCACAACCTCCACCACCTCGCTCATAACCTCCACCGACTCTCACAACCCCCACCGCCTCCTTCATAAGCCCGCACCGACACATTGACTAACTGTTGTAGCCTACTGCGACCCCCCTGGATGGGGGTCGGGGGTCCCCAGTCGAATTGTCTCACTGGGAGGTGTTATATTTCGCGAGGTTTTGCTCTCAATAACATATATGTAGAGGATTTTATATAATGATTTGACCTAATTTGGATCTTTTATAATATCTGTATAATATTATCTACAAACTATTTTTCTCATGTGAATACATGGAGGATATGCACAGCACATCCTAGAATGAAGTATATAAAACTTTACATTCATATATTACCACAACATGTCAATATAGTTTCTGATAACTGACGTTTTTATTCAAGTTTTCCTGTGTCCAATCGTGGAGGAAAATCAGGAAATAAATGGTTTACCATTATCGATCTAGGGAGAGGAATGGAGTGTTGTTGTTGTGGTAACCATGGCAACAACCACGTGTTTACCCCCCCCCCACCACCACCACCACAACACCCACGCCGCCGGCATGCACCTGTGCCAGGATTCAACAAGCATTTACGCATCTTCTTCGAAGTCTTCAAGACTGTAACTTGCTTAGCTAAATGAATGTTGGGGGTTCTGACCCTGAGCCCGTTGTGTGCCTTTGTAACACCTTCCATTACCGCCTACAACATGGGAATGGGGTGCATAATAAATGAACAAAAAACAACTTTCGACCCTGTACAGCTTTTCTCAATATTTGGCGGCTTTGTTTACAACTATTAAGCAGTTTGAGCTCTGCAATATTTAGTGGCTGTTTATAACAGCCACTAAATATTGCCCCTGCCCGAAACGCTTTGCGTAATAGTGGCTTTAGGCATCGTATGTACTAGCTCTATCTATTAATCCAACAAACTTTGTAAAATCTCTTGTATGTATGTACCTTACCTAAATAAACATTTATTTATTTATTTATTTATAACAATTACAACGTTTGGTTGGGAAGTTTTGATGCTCATAAATAGTTTAATAATTGTAAACAACCTTGCCAGAGATGCTGCGCATATTAGTGGCTTTAGGTATTGTATGTTTTAGCTCTCTCTATAAATCAAACATTATGTTTGTAACTCATCTTCTATGTACGTACTTTTACCTGAATAAACATTTTGATTTTTGAACAAAGTCGCCAAAGATTGAGAAAAGATGTTACGAAAAATGGGTAAATGCTTACTGAATCCTTGCCTAACCATTACTCAATAATAACCCATCCTGTCAGTACTCACCTAGTTGTATTCACCTAGTTGTGCTTGCGGGGGGGTTGAGCTCTCGCTCTTTGGTCCCACCTCTCAACTGTCAATCAACTGGTGTATAGATTCCTGAGCCTACTGGGCTCTATCATATCTACATTTGAAGTGGTATTGAACCCCTGTATACTTATCCAGTCATCGGTAGTGGATCCTATAAGACTCATCTTGTGAGTGGTAGTGGACCATACCCATCCTGTGTTACAGCATCCCTCAGGGGGCTTCCTTGCTCGTACTTGGGATACCGTTCGAGCCAACAGTAAATTTAAATTTTTAAATTTTGCCCTGAGATGAGCGGACGGCACAAAATTGGACGCCAGAGGCACGGGGGCCGCCGGAACAGAATCTTTCTTAAGAACCAGCACCAAGTCCCCTCCCTCACCCGCAACCTCGGCCTGTGCCACAACCTCTCAACACGGGGAACCAGCAACCGGGGACGCAGAGGCAGCCGGAGAAGACACCGGGCCAGGGCCAGGCGACAATCCCACCACAGGACCCACCACCGCTGCAACACGGCCAACAGGAGCCGCAGGCACTCTAACAGCGTCGCCCACATCATCATTCACAGAAGACGAACTTCTGGAGTCCCCAAAATCCCTGACGTCGGCCCAGGCCTCACCACGAGGTGGAGACAGACTCAAAGCTCGCCGCGAACGCTTGGACACAGGTCGTCGGAACTATCACCCCCGCCAGGAGGCACCGTAGCAGAACCTCCGGACGGTCGCGCAACTCCCCGCAGCGCACGATCACTCAACATCGCAGCCTCAACAACCCGGGGGAACAGGACCACACACCGCAGGAGACATCACAGCGTGCACGTCGACACGGGCCGAAGACAGCTGCCGGAGACAGTACAGGCCGAGGCGCAGCCTCGACGTCCGGAGGCACGAGACCACACACCCCAGGAGACTCGACTGGAGACGAGGGAGGCAGGGGTGGCTGAGGTGCGGGAGCCGGGGATACACTCCGACACCCACAGCCACATCGAGGCTGGCATCAGACCGGCAACGGGGCACCAGACGACTGGGAAGTATCACTCACTACAACAGCACCTACCGACAGGTCCGGGACCGCCAACAGGGGAAAGTTCTCCTCCCTGAAGAGGTTCACAGGCCCGACCCGGCTCGCATCACAACCCGCAGCCTGATGGCCCGAGAGTCCGCACCGGAAACAAGTCCGGGGCTGACCCCCATAGAATACGCGTACCATGAAGCCCAGAAGCTGGAGAGACGAAGGGATGGGGTCCTTCAAGCGCAGCACCACAGTGCGGGTCCCATTCGGGATACCTTTCCACCGCCCGGAGGAGACTGCATTCATCCGGACACTCAAGACCCGCTCATACCGGGTAAAGTGACGCTAGAGAAGTGAGTCAGGGAACTCAAAGGGAGCAACATGAACTGCCACATAGGTAGTCTCACTGCACCTGTCCGACAGTGTAGTGAGGACACTGCACTGTCGAGTGCAGTGCAGTTTGGAGTCCCTGTGCCTTTTTTCACCAACTTCGAGGTCAACCCCAGAACTCACAGTTCCTGCGACGGCGCTGGAACCAATCGTATTGGCGTTTGCCTTTCCATTTGAGACTTTCGGCGTCGTGGAGAGGTGTGACCTGCTGCCTGGGTAACAGCTTCTCATCTGTATCAACCTACCCTGGCTTTGCGCCCTGGTGAGGTCACTCCAGACCGACAACCAGAGCGGAACACCAGTCTCCTGAGACTGATGGATGCCATATACTACTATTTTCAAGATACAGGATATTAGGCTTCGGCTATTTACTTACTTCAAATGTCTCTACAAATACATGGAGTATACATTTGGTAATGATACATAATATGTATAGGTATATCAAATATACACTGACAATACGTAATACATACTAGAGTATTGTCAGGAATAGATTATATATATATATATATATATATATATATATATATATATATATATATATATATATATATATATATATATATATATATAAAGTAATATCCAGTGATACTAGGCTATTCGACCTGGATATCATTATGCAGAATGAACTCAGCATACACCAGCCACAGCATGATATATCATACTGGTGTATGTGTGGTCATAACACAGTACTGGAGGCCGGGGGGAACTGCACAGCAACTGACCAGTGCTAAAGGACGAAAGGACGGGGGAACGGTACATGGAGGGCAAGGTGACGAAACATGGAGGGCAAGGTGACGAAACATGGAGGGTAAGGTGACGAAACATGGAGGGCAAGGTGACGAAACATAGAGGGTAAGGTGACGAAGCATAGAGGGTAAGGTGACGAAACATGGAGGGCAAGGTGACGAAACATGGAGGGCAAGGTGACGAAACATGGAGGACAAGGTGACGAAACATGGAGGGCAAGGTGACGAAACATAGAGGGTAAGGTGACGAAACATGGAGGGTAAGGTGACGAAACATAGAGGGTAAGGTGACGAAACATGGAGGGTAAGGTGACGAAACATGGAGGACAAGGTGACGAAACATGGAGGGCAAGGTGACGAAACATAGAGGGTAAGGTGACGAAGCATAGAGGGCAAGGTGACGAAACATGGAGGGCAAGGTGACGAAAAATGGAGGGCAAGGTGACGAAACATAGAGGGTAAGGTGACGAAGCATAGAGGGCAAGGTGACGAAACATGGAGGGCAAGGTGACGAAACATGGAGGGCAAGGTGACGAAACATGGAGGGCAAGGTGACGAAACATAGAGGGCAAGGTGACGAAACATAGAGGGTAAGGTGACGAAACATGGAGGGCAAGGTGACGAAGCATGGAGGGCAAGGTGACGAAGCATGGAGGGCAAGGTGACGAAACATAGAGGGCAAGGTGACGAAGCATGGAGGGCAAGGTGACGAAACATAGAGGGCAAGGTGACGAAGCATGGAGGGCAAGGTGACGAAGCATGGAGGGCAAGGTGACGAAACATAGAGGGTAAGGTGACGAAACATGGAGGACAAGGTGACGAAACATGGAGGGCAAGGTGACGAAACATAGAGGGTAAGGTGACGAAACATGGAGGACAAGGTGACGAAACATGGAGGGCAAGGTGACGAAGCATGGAGGGCAAGGTGACGAAACATAGAGGGTAAGGTGACGAAACATGGAGGACAAGGTGACGAAACATGGAGGGCAAGGTGACGAAACATAGAGGGTAAGGTGACGAAACATGGAGGGCAAGGTGACGAAACATAGAGGGCAAGGTGACGAAGCATGGAGGGCAAGGTGACGAAGCATGGAGGGCAAGGTGACGAAACATAGAGGGCAAGGTGACGAAGCATGGAGGGCAAGGTGACGAAGCATGGAGGGCAAGGTGACAATATATGTGGTCAACTAGCGTGCGTATTGGTGGCCATGGCTAAGCGACTAACACATACACTGTAACACAACTGTAACACTGTAACAAGGGCGCCGGTGGCTGCGTGTGGATAGCACGCTGGACACGTAATCCTGTGGCCCGGGTTCGATTCCCGGCGCTGGCGAGAAACAATGAGCCGAGTTTCTTTCACCCTAATGCTCCTGTTACCTAGCAGTAAATAAGTACCTGGGAGTTAGACAGCTGTTACGAGCTGCTTCCTGGTGTGTGTGTGGGTGTGAAAAAATAGTAGTAACAGTTGACTGACAGTTGAGAGGCGGGCCGAAAGAGCAGAGCTCAACCCCCGCAAGCACAACGAGGTTATCTTGAGATGATTTCGGGGCTTAGCGTCACCGCGGCCCGGTCCTTGACCAGGTCTCCTTTTTGTTACACACACCCCCAGGACCCCCCACACGCCGCCCGTAGCAGCTGTCTAACTTCCAGGTACCTATTTACTGCTAGGTGAACAGGGGCATCAGAGTGAAAGAAACTCTGCCCATTTGTTTCCACCTCCACCGGGGATCGAACCCGGAACCTTAGGACTACGAATCCGAAGCGCTGTCCACTGCTGTCAAGCCCCTACCCAGCTGTCAGGCCCCTGGTGAATACACCTCTCCATGGGGATGGACAAGGTGCCACCAAACATGGTCGCATATGCTTACGAAACCTCTTCATCATTCGCAAAACATGTTTATATGTATTGAACAGATCTTGGCACTTCACAACCCTAAGTTATTATCGTCATGGAACAGCGTCGTAATGTTCCGGAGCTCATAAAGTGTTTAATGAATGCCAAAAAAGCCGACATGACTGATGAAAGATATACATGTTTCGTAAGTGGCCGAATGGTTTGATGAATCCTAAGGTCTATATGTACTAAGAATGACAGTGGTGCTGCTACCTTAATCCCACAAGTGCAAGGTTATCATTCACTCTTTTCCTGCTACGTTTGATCCAGGAAAAAGTCGCTCGCTCCTCAATGTGGCAACGTGTCAACGGTTCAGTGTTGCTTCTATATCCCGGGCCAGTGGTGCGACGCTTGTGTTTCTTGGTTCCCGCCAGTGGTGCGACGCTTGTGTTTCTTGGTTCCCGCCAGTGGTGCATCTGCTTGTGTTTCTTGGTTCCCGCCAGTGGTGCGTCCTCTGGTGTTTCTTGGTTCCCGCCAGTGTGCGACGCTTGTGTTTCTTGGTTCCCGCCAGTGGTGCGTCAGCTTGTGTTTCTTGGTTCCCGCCAGTGGTGCGTCTGCTTGTGTTTCTTGGTTCCCGCCAGTGGTGCGACGCTTGTGTTTCATGGTTCCCGCCAGTGGTGCGTCGGCTTGTGTTTCTAAGTTCCCGCCAGTGGTGCGTCCTCTGGTGTTTCTTGGTTCCCGCCAGTGGTGCGACGCTTGTGTTTCTAAGTTCCCGCCAGTGGTGCGTCCTCTGGTGTTTCTTGGTTCCCGCCAGTGGTGCGACGCTTGTGTTTCTTGGTTCCCGCCAGTGGTGCGACGCTTGTGTTTCTTGGTTCCCGCCAGTGGTGCGACGCTTGTGTTTCTTGGTTCCCGCCAGTGGTGCGTCTGCTTGTGTTTCTTGGTTCCCGCCAGTGGTGCGTCCGCTTGTGTTCCTAAGTTCCCGCCAGTGGTGCGTCCTCTGGTGTTTCTTGGTTCCCGCCAGTGGTGCGTCGGCTTGTGTTCCTAAGTTCCCGCCAGTGGTGCGTCCTCTGGTGTTTCTTGGTTCCCGCCAGTGGTGCGTCCTCTGGTGTTTCTTGGTTCCCGCCAGTGGTGCGTCGGCTTGTGTTCCTAAGTTCCCGCCAGTGGTGCGTCCTCTGGTGTTTCTTGGTTCCCGCCAGTGGTGCGACGCTTGTGTTTCTTGGTTCCCGCCAGTGGTGCGACGCTTGTGTTTCTTGGTTCCCGCCAGTGGTGCGACGCTTGTGTTTCTTGGTTCCCGCCAGTGGTGCGTCTGCTTGTGTTTCTTGGTTCCCGCCAGTGGTGCGTCCGCTTGTGTTTCTTGGTTCCCGCCAGTGGTGCGTCCGCTTGCGTTTCTTGGTTCCCGCCAGTGGTGCGTCCTCTTGTGTTTCTTGGTTCCCGCCAGTGGTGCGTCCGCTTGTGTTTCTTGGTTCCCGCCAGTGGTGCGTCCGCTTGTGTTTCTTGGTTCCCGCCAGTGGTGCGTCAGCTTGTGTTTCTTGGTTCCCGCCAGTGGTGCGACGCTTGTGTTTCTTGGTTCCCGCCAGTGGTGCGTCTGCTTGTGTTTCTTGGTTCCCGCCAGTGGTGCGTCCGCTTGTGTTTCTTGGTTCCCGCCAGTGGTGCGTCCGCTTGCGTTTCTTGGTTCCCGCCAGTGGTGCGTCCGCTTGTGTTTCTTGGTTCCCGCCAGTGGTGCGTCCGCTTGCGTTTCTTGGTTCCCGCCAGTGGTGCGTCCGCTTGTGTTTCTTGGTTCCCGCCAGTGGTGCGTCTGCTTGTGTTTCTTGGTTCCCGCCAGTGGTGCGCCCTCTTGTGTTTCTTGGTTCCCGCCAGTGGTGCGTCCGCTTGTGTTTCTTGGTTCCCGCCAGTGGTGCGTCCGCTTGTGTTTCTTGGTTCCCGCCAGTGGTGCGTCAGCTTGTGTTTCTTGGTTCCCGCCAGTGGTGCGTCCGCTTGTGTTTCTTGGTTCCCGCCAGTGGTGCGTCCGCTTGTGTTTCTTGGTTCCCGCCAGTGGTGCGTCCTCTTGTGTTTCTTGGTTCCCTCCAGTGGTGCGTCCACTTGTGTTTCTTGGTGCCCGCCAGTGGTGCGTCCGCTTGTGTTTCTTGGTTCCCGCCAGTGGTACGTCCGCTTGTGTTTCTTGGTTCCCGCCAGTGGTACGTCCGCTTGTGTTTCTTGGTTCCCGCCAGTGGTGCGTCCGCTTGTGTTTCTTGGTTCCCGCCAGTGGTACGTCCGCTTGTGTTTCTTGGTTCCCGCCAGTGGTGCGTCCACTTATGTTTCTTGGTTCCCGCCAGTGGTGCGTCCGCTTGTGTTTCTTGGTTCCCGCCAGTGGTGCGTCCGCTTGTGTTTCTTGGTTCCCGCCAGTGGTACGTCCGCTTGTGTTTCTTGGTTCCCGCCAGTGGTGCGTCCACTTATGTTTCTTGGTTCCCGCCAGTGGTGCGTCCGCTTGTGTTTCTTGGTTCCCGCCAGTGGTGCGTCCACTCTACCCAAGGATAGGTTGCAGTAAAATTTTTATTTTCTTAATCATAAACTGATAAAGTGATGATATTTTGTTTGATACCAGTCTGAATACAAGTGTGGTTTGTGATGCAAGACAAGTGCAACAATAGTGGCTGTTGAACAACATTCTGTCATGTGATGCCTCCGATAAACTCTTCTTTCGAGGCCCCCCAAAAAATACATTGCGCACCAAGATTTTCATATGTATGATTGTTTTAACTGGGATATAATAAATTGAAACAATCACTAACACTGAATGACGTTAATGGAGAAACGACCATTGTTTTGATAAAAAAACTAAAATAGCCTGAGGAGAAATAAATTGCTGCCTGTCGGAGCAAGTTCTGGGGAACCTCATCAAAACGCGTCAGTGAGCTGCGAGTGACGGAGGGGTGAGGATGTCGCCCGGGACACGGCTACGATGGCTGCTGGTGCTGGAGGCGGTGGTCGGGTACTGGTGCTACCTCTGGCTGCTCCCTCACCGCCATGCCACACTCTCACACCATCCATACCAAGCCAACGCCACGCAAGGTGATCCATATTATATTGTTGCTACAATAATTATAATTCATATCAAATATTATATGTAAATTATACATTGTAATTTCATTAAAACAATTGTATATAGCAGATTCCATAATTTATGAGCCTCTGGTTCAATTGTGGAGCTGAAGGCCCTCCGAGAAGGAAATACAATTTAGAAAAAATCTTGTTTATCTCTAATTCGTATGAGAATTTGCATCTCCTACCACCTTATTTATTATTATATACTTTATTATAAACAGGTACATACATGCAAAAGTGGTTGGGTATAAAATAGGAACATTTACAGAAAAAAACAACGTTTATTAACTAGTAGCTGTAAATTTCTCCATACTCATCGGACACTGGGCAGGAACCGAGGATACAGTGGGTATTTTCTCTCTGGATTGCCACACCGAGGTGCTGGAAAGGGAAACTGGCTGCTGTAGGGTCTTTGTTGTTTCAATGAATCTGGAAATCAGATCTTTTTGAAAGCTCCTTGTACTTTCTCTCCTTGGTTCAATAATCTCAAATCCTATAAGAATAAAGTTATACCAGTGGTCTATTTCCCTGTACTTGTTTGATTTGAATCTTTGCCTGTGTGCTAGAAGCAGCACCACTTTCTTGACCAAGGGAGAGGGAAACGTGTGGCTGCCAAGGTGGCGTTATGACCATACATACACCAGTGTAAATATATGGTATAAGTGTATGTTGCAGTCAAACTATATATATAGTCACATATTACTTTGCTTAGTTTACTCTTGTATTAGTAATCTTTTGTGAAATAGCAGAACTTATGGTTGTTCATATGCCTATATACTTGAGGTATGTGAATATATGGTACTTTAAGTCGTAAACGATCGATCGACCGGTAATTGCTGGAACTCTAACCAGTCTCCTTGGCGTAGTGGTAAGATGCTCGCCTGGCGTTCCAGGAGCGCTTTGTCCTAGGTTCCTATCCTGGTCAGGGAGGATTTACTGGGTGCAAATCCTTAACTGTAGCCTCTGTTTAACTCAACAGTAAAATGTGTACATGGTTGTAAAAACGATTCTTCGCGGGAGTCGTATTCCAGGGAACAGGTTTAAGGACTTGCCCGAAACGCTATGCGTACTAGAATGTAAACGCTAGGCTGTACAAGAATGTAAAAACTCTTGTATATATAAATAAAAAAAAATATTCCCCCTTTCCCACCCCCCCCCTCCCCCTTGGTGAATCGTCTCCAGCTAGTATTACTAGATGTACATAGAAATGACTCCCTCATGTGTTTAGCACATAGTTATATATTCTTATGTACCTTGAGGTTTGTATATATTGTACTGTATTATGCATATATCTAATTAGGTACAGTATGAGCTAGATGTAAATATTTATGTTTTGAGCTTCTGTTATGCGAAGGAGGAAGATTGGAGTGATATGCCCTGTTGGCAACAAAGTCGTTCTCGGCCGGCATGGCCGTTGGCAAGTCATTACTACCTTGATTTCCCAGAGAGACGGATGTGAGAAGTCCAGTCCTTGGGTTGTATTGTATTTTGTTATTTATTACTAAGGTATATATTATAAGAGTAATGCTGTTGTAAATGGATCAGGCTACAGATATATTAGTAGGTCAGGTGGTTGGTGATATTGGTATCTGAGGGTTGTAGATCATTATTGTGTTGCAGTACGTGACAGATTCCTCACCCACTATTTATGTATCGCACCTCCATACTGTTATTAGGTTAGTGTACCACTGTGCCGGGTTGGAGCCTGATGTCGGCTAGTCCTAGGTATTAGCAGTTACTGAACTGATAGCTGTGTTTTAAGTTCTTAACTTTCATTGAAGTTCATTGATGTGATTAGTTGAGCTGTGTGTTGAACCTCTTTCTGGTGAAAATGTCAGTTGTATACTAGTGTATATTAGTTGTATATAGAGAATGTTTGTTAGTTTTCAGTGTTTTACGGTGACCTGTTTATATGTCCCAGTAAACTGGTGTTATTTTAACCAGACTTTTAAACTTACTCTAGACACTTATTGAAAATTGGCCAGGCTTTGGTTGGCCAGCGATGCTGTGGATCATGAGGTCATGACTGGGGGGGGGGGTGGATACACAACTATAGTCCCATGCCAGTTGTCTTATAATTCCTCAAGTGCATATTTGACTGTTGCCGCCGAAGGTGGCTAGTTTATTGTGCACCCCATGCTCATACTGTGAGCGGTAGCGCAAAAAGCATTAGAGGGCACAAAAGGTCTTTATCAGACCTCATTTTAGATTATTACATAAACAATTTCTTATCTTATTTATTACCACACATCTTATAGTTACAATGTCAGCTAGTTACAGAGAAAGTGCTATTTCAAGAGCTATATATTTACAGTAAGTAATTACACATTAATGGTAGGTCTTATCGCTAATACATAATAGTTTGGCCAATGGAGATATTAGTCATAGGGGAGCTTCTGTTTATTATTAGTCCTCACAATACACTACTTGTTTCTGAATCTCATATGTCGTTAATCTACTGGAAGCGAAATGTGGATACAGTGCAAGGATTTCAGGTAGTTTATCCATGGTAATGAGAGGTTGCCATATCATACAGAGTGAGCTTAGATTTATCTCTAAAAGGCTCAATTTTACTACAATCCAAGATAGTGTTAGTGTGTGTCCCTGTCTTTGTCCACACACTTTACACTTTACTTCATCTAGATCCCTATACAAGCCGAACTGCCAGAGATACTTGTAGCCAAGTCTTATACGAGCTGTGACATCTGTTAGTCTACTGACTTTGTTACTTGCCCCTTACACATGTTTTACTTCACACATTTCATTGTGATAAACAATGGACCTGCTAGTTCCAGTTTGCACTGTTCTACTTTCTTCAAATTCATCCAGGAGTTCTCGTCTAATGACACTTTTAAGGGACCTATTTGATAACTCAAGATTCCGTTCAATACTGTCTTTATTTACTGCAGCCTTAGCAAGGGCGTCAACTTTGTCATGTTCCTGCAGGCCAATGTGAGAAGGAATCTACAACATTTTTATATTTACCCTCTTGCTAAGTATTTTTATATATCTACGTCTAGCTTCCAAGACAAGCACGTTATTACTTGATTGCAAACTGTTTCTTGCTCGTAGTGAGGAAAGAGAGTTGGAAATAATTAAGCTGTCTACTTCAGTGTTGTCAATAATTTCGAGTGTTACCAGTATTGCTACCATCTCGGCTTGCATTGTGGATGCCCAGTTACTAATTCGGATATTCCTTTGAATTGTACTGCCATCGGGCTGATGAGCAATAACAGCACTTCCTGCCCTCCCTGTAGCTGTATTGAATGATCCGTCAGTGTATATGGTCTGTGCTATGTTATGTTCAGCTTGTATATTGTGAATGTGTTCTATGGTGCTTAATTTAGCAGCAAGCTGAGCATGAGGGTTGTTTGTGATTAGTTTCTTGGTGGGGTATGCAGGGGTCAGGATGTCAAAAGGTACTATCTGCCAGAGTGGAAGTGCATAGTGTAATTTCATCCGGTCACTCGACAAGAGAATAACATTGTGGGACATTAGAAAACGAAGTTCTCTCTCTCTGCTGGACGCAGGGCAGAGGCAAAGGTTCTCTTTTTAATGATGTTGACTTCGTTGTGTTGACTTCCATCCCTTTGATTTTCCACAGTATAGGCCATGTTACCCCGTATTCATCTATTTCTGCCACGCCACATATACAAAGTGTGGATTGGGCAGAGGGCAACTGCAATTGAAGATGTGTACATGATTCAGATATGGGGGACCGCCAAATGGAAACCCCCTGCATGGGGGAGCAGTCACAGCTGTGAGGCGAGCATAGTCGCTGGCTATTATTGCTATTTGTAGCAAAGCTGTAGCTTCATTTTCCACAATGGCGCTGCTCCAGCTGATTTGTTTGTTGGCTTTTTGGTAGGGCTGATCTGAGTGCTGGGGCTACCAGAGTATCCCATTTTGCGATGCATCCTGTACCACAAGGGTCATGTATTCCTGCTGAATCACCCAGATTATCAGATAAAAAAATTTTGACCAGGTCAGTTGATACCAAGGAGGAAGATAACAAGGCTTGAACAGTAATTTGGGTGGCAGTGCGAACACCCAGGCCACAGAGAGTGACTGGAAGAGTGGCTTATTCCCACTAAGTCATTGAGAGAAAGGTTGATAAGTTTTTCTAACAGACTTTGGAAGGATGTCTATACTCGTCAAGCTTTGTGCTGTTGTAAGATGGGGCGCACCACAAGTAGGTTGAGTGCACAATTAAATCACATAACATGAAGTATCACTGAGAAAATCCTTTAGTCTAAGACGCTATAGCTTGGGAGTACCAAGTTTGTTTATTTATATATAAGAAGGTACATTGGGTTTATTAGAGTACAGAGACATGAAGTTTTACATTCTTGTAACGCCACTAGCACGCAGAGCGTTTCGGGCAGATCCTTAATCTAATGTATAATTTTAAGACGGTAATTTCAAGCAAAATTATAAAGTTTACAAGTACATTGTAAGAAAGTATAAAAATACATTGTAAGAAGATATAAAATTGCATTGTAAGAAAGTATATAAAAAAATTACATTGTATAAGAAATTTGACAAAAAAATAGGTACATTAAAGTAAATTTAAGGGTTATCCACAGGTACATTTTAGCATAATTTGAGGATTATTGCAAGATATAATGTAGCAAACTGTGTGTATAACATGATATAAGATAAACAACAATGATTACAATGGTAAAGTTATATGGCATAGGTACATATTTTGGGGAATTGGGTAACACTAGATACAGTGCGAGTTTCAAGCATTAGGTAGGAAACTATGAAGATGAAATTAGGTATTTATTGGTTTTATTTTTGAATAAGGCAAAAGTTGGACAACTTTTCAATTTGTTAGCGAGTTTTATAGATTAGGTCCCTTCATTTGCGTAGTGTTTACAAAGATTAAATTTGACTTTGGGGATATCAAAGAGATATTTATATCTGGTGTGGTGATTATGTGTTCTATTACATCTGTCCAGGAAAAGTTTCAGAACAGGGGTTTGCATTTAAGAACGGTGTTTTGTAAATGTAATTGGCACAAGGAAATGTGTGGAGTGAGGTTATGTTTAGGGATTTAAACAGGGGGGCTGAGTGTTGTCTTAAAGCAGAGTTTATTATTGTGATAGCGGATTTTTGATGGGCGATGATGGGCTTGAGGTAGTTTGCAGAGGTTGAGCCCCATGCACAGATGTCATATGTAAGTTAGGGGTAGATTAACGCACAGTATATTGAGAGGAGGGCAGAGTTTGGAACATAATATCTGATTTTAGAGAGTATACCAACCGTTTTTTAGACTTGATTATGTGCTGTACGTGGGTGCTGAAGTTGAGTCTCTTGTCTAAGTATAGGCCAAGGAACTTTCCTTCATTTTTATTGCTGATGTTAACATTGTCTGTCTGAAGCTGAATTGTTATTTCTCTAAATTGCTATTTCTTATAAAGAGCAAAAGACAGCACCTTGGACAGGGTTAGGCTAGGCTTCAGTCGCACGTGAGTTACTTTCAGTATTGGCAATTTTTTATTATTATTATTTTCTACCACAGACGTGGCCACACATTTACAATGCTAACCAGCATATATACATTTTCTTCTGTCCTCCATGGACAGGGTGAGAGATTTGTCAAACATACACTTCAGAGATTTATTGAACAACCACAGAAGGTGATCGTAGTGCTTTTAAAATGTTAGGCTCAGTATTGGCAATGGAAGGATTCTGGTTTTCATATATACCACAGTCATGAAAGAAGGCGAGGTGTTGGTCACACTTTATTTCATATCTTTTTCCTTCTTTACAATGATCGTTCCATTCCCAGTGTAGCACTGCTTGATAACACCTGAGTTTTGTTTGTGAATTTGACGCAGTGTGTAGAGGAGGGATCCGCGCTGCTTGGTAAGGCACTAATTTATATAAAAGTTAGTTTTTTTTTTTTTTTTTTGCTTAGCAGCTGTTTGCATGAGGTCAAACTTAGCAGCCGGATTTGCAAGTTTAGTAAGCATTCTCCTAGTGCTGCGGGGGACTGTTTTTATCTATCCTGGCAGCTAATTTGATATCAACGTTGACTTTGATCTTTGACTTAATTAGTTCACTGGCCACATTACAGCAGATTTCACCTTGTTGACTTAATTAGTTCACTGGCCACATTACAGCAGATTTCACCTTGTTGTTCATCAGGTAGATCAGCAGATCTAATTATCAAAGTCGTGAAGTTGTTGTTGCTCGAGGTCGTCTTCAGAGCCCACCTGGTGCATCTGGAGGAGATTTTTTTGCTTTTCCACCTTTTGAAGGATGTCGGTTTGTCCTGGTTGGGTTTCCTCGGCCTTAATCTTGTTCATTTGTTTCCTTGTGTCATCTGTTATAGTTTGTAAGCTGTGAATTGCTTGATCGTTGTTCATCGAAGACTCGAGGAGGCAGTCTATAGCTTGTTGTTGTTTGGAGACTGTGGCTTGGAAAGCCTCAATTGCTTTAGATTGCCGAAGCACTAAGTTATGTAGTTTCTGCGTCATGGATTTTTCCGCAATGGTTTAAAGTTGGTACAGGGAAGCATAGATTGAGTGAATTCCACAGCCTGAGTTTTGAGTTGAGTCGTAGGCAGCTGCTGAGAGAGGGAGGGAGGGAGGGAGGGTAGCACCAGGTCCTGTTTTACCAACAGCGACAAAGATTCCAGTGTTGCCATTGTTTCATTTAGGTCTCTTGGTGTCAAGGAGAGTGGGTTCGAATCGTTATCAGGCTTCTACTGATTTTCTGAAGTAGGTTAACCTTGGAAGGGAGAGGCATGTCACAAGAAGATAAAATGTATCATGGGCATCGATGTCGCCAATCCTATTTTTCATCCATGGTTTTCTTTCCAAGGATCTCATCAATGGCGTTTTACCCAAGAGAAGCTCTGAGAAGAGTGGTGTCTGTGGACCTGATTATATTAACTCCCTGCAGGAGAGAGATGTCCTGCAGGGAGGTCACACTTGTAAGGGTTTAGGGAGAGGCCTTGCTTGTCTGCTTGTTCAGTAATTTTCTCGATGCCCTCTTCAGTAATTTTCTCGATGCCCTCTAAGAGGGAATCTAAAGAACCAACCATATGTCCCATATGGTTGGTTATGTCCCATCATGCAAGAACCCGATAGTGATCTCCCTGGTCAAACTAAGATGATATATTTTAAGACTAAGCAGAAAAAAAGGAGCTAGGGAAGGGAGGGAGGGAATTATTAGAGGAAACCGCCAAGCCATTACGACTATATAGCACTTGGAAGGGGTCAGGATGAGGATTTGGGATGCGATGGGATGAGGGGGGGGGGAATCACCAAGGCAGATGTTTGTAGGAATCACCAGAATGCGGGTTTAAGTCACTCCAATGCATCAAAATGATTTTCGTTGATATATCACGCTGTAACGGTTCTATTGTTACGTAAAGTATGGTGACAAATAAATACAGACACTAAGATACTATATATATATTTGGTTGAATATACAGAAGTACACAGGTGATACTTTGGTGTGAGTTGAGCGCACTGAGCGTCGGTACAGTATCTCGCAAGTGTCTGCTCTAGACCACACTTGAAAGTAGACTAGTTAATGTTTGCTATTCTGCTGCTTATATGCTCGGGCAACACCTCACCGTGTTGCCCGGGCAACGCCTCACCGTGTTGCCCGGGCAACGCCTCACCGTGTTGCCCGGGCAACGCCTCACCGTGTTGCCCGGGCAACGCCTCACCTCATTCATCTCCAAAGGTTGACAGGAATATTAACAATGCATTTGGAGCGAGTATATTATTGGGATAATCTACTCGCTACAACGCTATTGTGATTTTATTCCGGTGTGGGATGTGGTGTTCATACTAACTGTTCCACCACCCTGAGAGAAGTGATCCAACGTCTGCTTGTGTGTACTTGCCTTTCCACAAGCGTTCCAGTGTTTTCTGGTCCCACATCTTATTTATTTTACTTTCATATTTTGTTTAAACTGGTTTTCCACATTTAACACTTATATTTTCAACATGTTTCCCAGTCACGAATAAACTTGGAATAGTCTCCTTCATCAGTATTAAGTATTTGTTTATAGCCTTTTAGAGAGGATCGTTCTCCCACTGTAGTTATGTCACGGCACATGTGCAGAAGAGTTGCTGATCTGGCGGGAGTTTTGAAACGTAACGTACACCTTCCAATCATACTATTATTTTACATATTCACCCCAAACATTGCCCACAAAGATCCCTTGCTTACAGGGACCGGAGTTAGTCCCCAGGGACGAGGTACAACAAAGTGATGAGGTGTGTGCAACAAAGACTCCAGGCACACACGAATCAGCTTTTTTCTATCCTTTTCTTTCCCACACCTAGGCGGACGTCAGACGGTGGCTGACGCTCTATTCCAATGGTGACAGTGGTTGACACTCTTCTCTCCCCATCCAGCAACGGTGACGCTGGGTAGTATCCAGTACCTGCTGAAGCCCCCGCCACCCACCCCGGAGGATCTTAAGTTCGCTGTCATTGCCTCAAACTACAGCCAGCGGAGGGCGGCTCCTCACCCACCCGGTAGGCTGTCACCACTTCCCATATGTGACGCTGCACCTCTTGGGGTCGTAATAATTGTTTTTGAATCTCACACAATACAAGGCAGGCAGGTGTGTCGCGAACCATGTAAACACAGTCTTGCTAGTCTGACCCCACCGTCATGAAGATGGGGTCAAGTAGATTGTACAAGTAGCAAGCAAAGTAAAAGAATTCGTAATATAACTTTTTTAATGAATTGGTCTATACATTACTGAATGTTACATTGTCAATAATATACTGCGTGTTTGTTTAATACTGTGGACAGCATCATCAGTGGCGGTGGAGACGACGAGGTCAACACCCTCCTCTACTGACTCCGTCCACCCGTCCTCCAGCACCACCACTACCACCATTTATAACATCACCAACGTCAATGTCACCATCGTCAACAACAAATCCAGCGTCAGCAATCATCTCGCCACCAACATTAATCCCACCACTAAAAATGGCCCCATTTCCATCAACGACGTCGTTGACAGCGTCAATACCAGTACCTCCGCCCGCGCCGTCACCACCAACACCCCCTTCATTACCACCAACAGTACTGTCACTAGCGTCAGTACCTCCGCCCGCGCCGTCACCACCAACACCCCCACCATTACCACCAACAGTACCGTCACTAGCGCCAGTACCTCCGCCCGCGCCGTCACCACCAACACCCCCACCATTACCACCAACAGTACTGTCACTAGCGTCAGTACCTCCGCCCGCGCCGTCACCACCAACACCCCCTTCATTACCACCAACAGTACTGTCACTAGCGCCAGTACCTCCGCCCGCGCCGTCACCACCAACACCCCCTTCATTACCACCAACAGTACTGTCACTAGCGCCAGTACCTCCGCCCGCGCCGTCACCACCAACACCCCCTTCATTACCACCAACAGTACTGTCACTAGCGCCAGTACCTCCGCCCGCGCCGTCACCACCAACACCCCCTTCATTACCACCAACAGTACTGTCACTAGCGCCAGTACCTCCGCCCGCGTCAGTACCTCCACCAACGCCTCCACCATCAACAACAAGCTCCTAGTGCAGGATCTAGTACGGTTGGCCACAAGACCGTCCTACAAGTGCACTAAACTCCTGAAGCAGGGAGGAAGGTCCTGCCACAGGATCCCAGATGGAGACAAGTGAATATCTTATTGCTGTTGTTTTAAATTATAATTATAATTAAATGTTGTCAGTAGTAGAAGTAGAGCAGCATTTGTAGTGGTGGGAACTATTGCTTACTTGTGTTCTGTTTCCATATTACAATAAGAAATACGTATATATTTCGGCAAATGTTAACTTGTAAGCCATATTTATTTAATAAATATTATATATATATATATATATAATATATAATATATTTATCATCAAATATCGAAGCTATTGTATTTTAGGAAGATGTGTTTGGATGCGTCAGTGGCACCGTCTAGATCGTCGTGTATCGTGTACTCGGTAGGCATTGGCCACGACTTCAGCTTCGACAAATCCATGGGGGAATATGGATGTGAAGTGTTTTCCTTTGACGACGACGATTATCACACCATCTACCCAAACAATATACTTCGCAGGTAAACGATTTAACGAAATGTATTAACAAGAATGTAAGAACACTTGTATATAAATAAATAAAAATAAAATCTCTACCACAGTTGCTTATAAAATGATTTGAAAATTAAGGCAAATACAATATATAAAATACACACTAATTTGAAATAGTATTTTCTATTAAGTGGAGGAAAGGCAGGAGCTTGGTAAAGATGGCTAAATATGTTAAAATAATTACATCCATCCCGTCAGTGTGTGTTCCATGCTGGACACTATCAGAGCCATGATAGTGTTCCATGCTAGTCACACACACAGTCATGATAGTGGTCCATGCTAGTCACTATCAGAGCCATGATAGTGTTCCATGCTAGTCACTATCAGAGCCATGATAGTGTTCCATGCTAGTCACACACACAGTCATGACAGTGGTCCATGCTAGTCACTATCAGAGCCATGATAGTGTTCCATGCTAGTCACTATCAGAGCCATGATAGTGTTCCATGCTAGTCACACACACAGTCATGATAGTGGTCCATGCTAGTCACTATCAGAGCCATGATAGTGTTCCATGCTAGTCACTATCAGAGCCACACCACCACACTCCAGCAAAACCATCCACAACAATGATGAAGTTTGATGTATAATAACAAGGTTTCTAATTGTATTAGGTAATAACCGGATAGATGCAGACGATGAGTCACAATAACGGGGCTGAAGACATGATAACCAACCACAACTCACACGACGGAGAAACCGCCATATTTTGTTGTCCAGGTGGACCGAGACGTCGGCGCTTCTCCATGTTGTGAGTTGTGGTTTGGTCATCAGCCAGATGGATGTAAATATATTCTTGGTAATTATAGGGATTTATAAGAGAAGCCCAATTTACTTGAATATGCACAGTGAAAAAGATTTATAATGCAAGTCAAACTTACCCTGGATGAACTAGGAGTTATATTATGTACCTCGCCCTGCCCTGGTGACGCTCTATTACTCCCTCATCTATCCTTATCTCAACTATGGTATTTGTGCTTGGGGTTCTACTACCCAAAATCATTTACGTCCTCTAATTACCCAACACAAAGCTGCCATTAGGACAATATCCAACTCAGGCCCCAGACATCACTCGGTACCCCTACTCAAATCCCTGAATATGTTAGATATTAAATCACTGCACATTCTCTCATGTGTATTATATATATATAAAACGTTGAACTGTAATGCCAATCCTGACCTCAAAAGCTTCATTGAAGGTTGCAACAGAACCCATGAGCACCACACCAGAAACAAATATTTATTTATTTATTTATTTTATTTATTTATTTATATATATATACAAGAAGGTACATTGGGTTTGTGAGAATACATTGGATAGTACAGTATTTACACTCTTGTAAAGCCACTAGTACGCGCAGCGTTTCGGGCAGGTCCTTAATCTAACAGATAATTTTAAGTAGGTAATTTCTATCAGAATTGATAAATGATAACAAATACATTACAAGAGAAAAATGAGATGAGAAAGATTAGTAAGTATATTAAAGCACATTGCTATATTAGAGCTCTGATGGATTACATTGACAGCTTGATTGGTAATTTAAACAAGATTAATAGACACCATACAGCAGATTGACAGCACATATAAGACAGCAATGATCACAATGGTAAAGATGTTCAGATTGGGAACATAAAGATTGGGAGATTGGGTAGCAATAGATACAGTGCAATTTTAAGGCAAAAAGTGAAAAACTATGAAGATGAAATTAGGTACTTTTTAGTATTGACTTTGAATGATGTAAAAGTTGGACAGCTTTTCAATTCAGTAGGGAGAGAGTTCCATAAACTGGGTCCCTTTATTTGCATAGTGTTTGCACAGATTAAGTTTAACTCTGGGGATATCAAAAAGATATTTATTTCTGGTGTGGTGATAATGGGTCCTATTACATCTGTCCAGGAAGAGTTTCAGAGCAGGATTTGCATTTAAGAACAAGGTTTTGTAAATGTAGTTGACACAAGAGAATTTATGGAGTGAGATTATGTTTAGCATGTTTAGGGAGTTAAACAAGGGGGCTGAGTGTTGTCTGAAAGCAGAATTTGATATTATTCTGATAGCAGATTTTTGCTGGGTGATGATGGACTTGAGGTGGTTTGCAGTGGTTGAACCCCATGCACAGATACCATAGTTGAGATAGGGATAGATTAGTGCATAATATAGAGAGATGAAAGCAGAGTTAGGTACATAATATCTGATTTTGGAGAGTATACCAACTGTTTTAGAGACTTTCTTAGTTATGTGTTGTATGTGGGTACTGAAGTTGAGTCTCTTGTCTAGGAATAGGCCAAGAAACTTTCCATCATTTTTATTGCTAATGTTTACATTGTCTGTCTGAAGCTGAATTGCATTTGTAGATTTGCTTCCAAATAAGATGTAGTAGGTCTTTTCTATGTTAAGTGTTAGTTTGTTGGTTGACATCCATAAGTGGACTTTTTTTAGTTCATTATTAACAACATTATTTAGTGTATGTGGGTTGGGGTTGGAGTAGATGAGGGTAGTATCATCAGCAAACAAAATAGGTTTCAGAATGTTAGAGACATTAGGCAGATCATTGATGTATATAAGAAATAGAAGAGGTCCCAAGATGCTGCCCTGTGGCACTCCAACGGTTATTGGTAGAGTGGGAGAGGTTATATTATTGATGGCTACACATTGGTGTCCATCACTAAGATAGGATTGGATATAGTCCAGTGCATGGCCTCGGATTCCATAATGATGGAGTTTACGTAAGAGGTAATCGTGATTAACAGTATCAAAGGCCTTTCTCAGGTCAATGAAGAGTCCAATCGGAAACTCATTTTTGTCAAGGGCTGAGTAAATTATATCAAGGAGACTAATAATTGCATCGTTGGTACTCTTTTTGGGAGCGGAAGCCAAACTGACAGGGGCTAAGAATGTCGAATTTTACGAGATAGGAGTAGAGCTGTTTGTAGATAATTTTTTCAAATATTTTATCTCTACTCGTATCCTCAGAGTGCACTTCATCCACATTCGTGTTGGCGACAAGGTGCTGTACCAGTTTGTGCTGGACAAGGTCAAGAACAGCACCTTCCAGTACCTGTACCGACCTCTGGACAACATTATGTACATCCTGAGGCATGACTCCGCCAACCTGGAGCTGATCAAGATGGATGTGGAGGGCGACGAATGGAACATCTTCAAGAACTCCATCTTTAAGGTACTGTTGTAAACAGTCTTTCCATGATTACATCTTTACTTTTCATATTTCTAATCTTATTTAGGTACATTTTGATTGGTTTATATTTAAGTAACTGCCCACGTTCGCTATAATTACTTGTAGTTTGTCTTAGACAATGTTCTCTACCAGTCTTACTTGAGGAAACGTAATGCATTCATTTGATTTTTTTATTATGCACCCCATCCCCGTCCCGTGGAGGAAAGGGTTACAGAGGCACAACTATGGAGTTAAAGAACTGAAGCCCATAGTTTGTTTAGCTAAGGAAGTGACAATCTTCTGAAGCTAGTTGCACAATTGTTAATATTACATACACATGTACATATATATATATATATATATATATATATATATATATATATATATATATATATATATATATATATATATATATATATATATATATATATATATACAAATAATTTCTTCAAGAGCTTTATAAGTTATTGTCTCATGACACCCGACCAAAAAGCTCGGACCCCGCAAGCACAACTAGGTGAGTACATTAAATACAATAAATAAATAAATATTAACTATATCTTACCAAGCCTCCGAAGAATAACTTGAAACAAATCGTTGCAAGTATGATATAGCATCATAAATAATTAAATACATCATCTTGAGTTTATTTGCTTCTGGCGCTGCAAACCTAACTTTACAGTCAGTGTAGTGACTTCATGATTCAGAGTTGTGACTTCATCACTCAGAGTTGTGACTTCATCACTCAGAGTTGTGACTTCATCACTCAGAGTTGTGACTTCATCACTCAGAGTTGTGACTTCATCACTCAGAGTTGTGACTTCATCACTCAGAGTTGTGACTTCATCACTCAGAGTTGTGACTTCATCACTCAGAGTTGTGACTTCATCACTCAGAGTTGTGACTTCATCACTCAGAGTTGTGACTTCATCACTCAGAGTTGTGACTTCATCACTCAGAGTTGTGACTTCATCACTCAGAGTTGTGACTTCATCACTCAGAGTTGTGACTTCATCACTCAGAGTTGTGACTTCATCACTCAGAGTTGTGACTTCATCACTCAGAGTTGTGACTTCATCACTCAGAGTTGTGACTTCATCACTCAGAGTTGTGACTTCATCACTCAGAGTTGTGACTTCATCACTCAGAGTTGTGACTTCATCACTCAGAGTTGTGACTTCATCACTCAGAGTTGTGACTTCATCACTCAGAGTTGTGACTTCATCACTCAGAGTTGTGACTTCATCACTCAGAGTTGTGACTTCATCACTCAGAGTTGTGACTTCATGATTCAGAGTTGTGACTTCATGATTCAGAGTTGTGACTTCATGATTCAGAGTTGTGACTTCATGATTCAGAGTTGTGACTTCATGATTCAGAGTTGTGACTTCATGATTCAGAGTTGTGACTTCATGATTCAGAGTTGTGACTTCATGATTCAGAGTTGTGACTTCATGATTCAGAGTTGTGACTTCATGATTCAGAGTTGTGACTTCATGATTCAGAGTTGTGACTTCATGATTCAGAGTTGTGACTTCATAGGCAGGCGATGAGTCACAATAACGTGGCTAAAGTACGTTGACCAGACCACACACTAGAAGGTGAAGAGACGACGTTTCGGTCCGTCCTGGACCATTCTCCCTGGACCACAATCGACTTGAGAATGGTCCAGGACGGACCGAAACGTCGTCGTCCCTTCACCTTCTAGTGTGTGGTCTGGTCAATTGTGACTTCATCATTCAGTGTAGTGACTTCATCAGTGTAATGACTCTAGTGTTGTGGCTTTATCAATGTGACTCAGCCAGTGAAGTGACTCGGTCATTCAGTATAGTGACTAGGTCAAAGTAATGATTCTAGGATTCAGTCCAGTAACTCAGTCAGTATACTCACTTATTGAGTAAGTTTAGTCGCTACAAAACTAATGTAGTCACAAGTCCGTGTAGGGACTTAAAGAGTCAGTGTTGTGACTCCATGAACCAGCATTGTGACTCAACTATTCAGTGTAGTGATTCCAAGCGTCAGTGTAATGATTCCAAGACAGTATAATGACTACAGAAGTAAGTGTAGTCACACAAGTTAGTATTGTGATTCAGTCAGTGTAGTGATTCCAAGAGTCAATGTAATGATTCCAAGAGGCATTGTAATGATTCCAAGAGTCAGAGTAATGACTACAAAAGTTTAGTCACACAAGTCAGTGTAGTGGCCCCAAGAGTAGGTGTAGTGATTCCAAGTCAGTGTAATGACTACAAAAGTAAATGTAGTGACTCCACGAGTCAGTGTAGGGTCTTTTGGAGTCAGTATAATGACTCCAAGAGTCAGTGGAGTCTGGCAAGAATCTGTGTGTTCTCTGGTTGGTTAGGTTAGGGTACATTTTTAGTACAACAGTTTTTTGTCATTGGCAACACTGGCGAGAACGGGCCGCATCAGCAGCGTCGCCAAGGGGATCACATCTCGGTAACTCTTGACCTCGTTGTCAAGACCTTGACACACTCACCTGAGCTCTTAGGCAAGTAAGAGCCTTACTTGCCTCGTAAGGCAAGGTAAGCCTTGCCTTATGAGGTAAGGCTCTTTACTGCCTTGCCTCGTAATTAATTGTTGCCTATAGCCTCGTCCACAAACAATTTTATTCCCTATTTTATTTATTTATTTATATACAAGAAGGTACATTGGGAGTTAAGAGAGAACATAGAAGTGAAGATGATTTTACATTCTTGTAAAGCCACTGGCACGCAGCGTTTCGGGCAAAATAACAACATTTTGTTCCCTACACCATATAAGTAATATATATGTGTGCTCATTCAGCTCGAGCCTATCCGGCAAATCATCAGAACAAGAAAATGGTGAACAGAAACACATGTCTTATAGAAGAGAACATTTAATGGAATAATGAACACATATGATATGACTTAAATTATACATAACGCTATAATTTAACATTTTCACACAAAATAACATTTCCTTAAGATTTATCACAATATTAATGTTCCTAAGTAACAATCTTATACTATTATCACACACGTTCAATAAACTACAAGACGTTGAAATGCAACTTTTTTCTATAGAATTCATTGCATTGCAACACCATATTTGCTTTTTAATTATTATAGCACCATAAGCGTTTATATTCATTGCAATTCTAACTATTTTCGTTAACAAAAATTCTTTCTTCGTTTTATTTTCTAACACTACACACTACAGGAAAAAACTTAAATCCAGCATGGCAACAAAAACGACTTTTAAATGCCTCTACCTTACCTTGAGGTTACCTTGAGGTGCTTCCGGGGCTTAGCGTCCCCGCGGCCCGGTCGTCGACCAGGCCTCCTGGTTGCTGGACTGATCAACCAGGCTGTTGGACGCGGCTGCTCGCAGCCTGACATATGAGTCACAGCCTGGCTGATCAGGTATCCTTTGGAGGTGCTTATCCAGTTCTCTCTTGAACACTGTGAGGGGCCGGCCAGTTATGCCCCTTATGTGTAGCGGAAGCGTGTTGAACAGTCTCGGGCCTCTGATGTTGATAGTTCTCTCTTGAACACTGTGAGGGGTCGGCCAGTTATGTCCCTTATGTGTAGTGGAAGCGTGTTGAACAGTCTCGGGCCTCTGATGTTGATAGTTCTCTCTTGAACACTGTGAGGGGTCGGCCAGTTATGTCCCTTATGTGTAGTGGAAGCGTGTTGAACAGTCTCGGGCCTCTGATGTTGATAGTTCTCTCTTGAACACTGTGAGGGGTCGGCCAGTTATGTCCCTTATGTGTAGTGGAAGCGTGTTGAACAGTCTCGGGCCTCTGATGTTGATAGTTCTCTCTTGAACACTGTGAGGGGTCGGCCAGTTATGTCCCTTATGTGTAGTGGAAGCGTGTTGAACAGTCTCGGGCCTCTGATGTTGATAGTTCTCTCTTGAACACTGTGAGGGGTCGGCCAGTTATGCCCCTTATGTGTAGTGGAAGCGCGTTGAACAGTCTCGGGCCTCTGATGTTGATAGAGTTCTCTCTCAGAGTACCTGTTGCACCTCTGCTCTTCAACGGGGGTATTCTGCACATCCTGCCATGTCTTCTGGTCTCATGTGATGTTATTTCTGTGTGCAGGTTTGGGACCAGCCTCTACAGGAGACTGGCCGGCTGCAACCCGTCGTTCTTATAGAGCGTCGTATTTTGACGTATATTCTACCTAAGGCAAAAATTGTCGTACTAATAAATAGTAGCGGCTCGCGAAATTGACATACTGTTCCGTTTTCTGTTTTGGGTCCTCTGGTAGGTTAGGATAAGTCACTTTAGTATGACAGTTTCTTGACGGTGGGAAACCGTAGGAGGATGGACTGGACAGGGATCAACCTCACAGTAGCTCAAACTTTCCATCATAGTCAACCTGAAAGGAAAATTAATAAGGGCACCACGAGACCAACAGACTGCAAATTACTTAGAAAAAGTAAGAGTCCTGCAAGGGAGACCTGTATGCTTGGAAAAGCTGGACCCTTCAGAAAGACGCACACGAGTCGTGCTTTTGGGATACTCAATCGACTTTCCCCTGGATCCAGTACTAGAACACAAGCAAATCCTGAATGCGGAACGATGCCGCACAAAAGTAGACAAGGCAGCGACACGTCAGGTTCTGGTGACCGTCATGGGACATGTGCCAGAAACATTCAGTCTTGGAAATTGGAGAACATACCGACAGAAACCATACGTCCCGGAACCCCTGCGCTGCTTCAGGTGTCAGAAATACGGCCACCATCAATCACACTGCACCGGACAGGAGAGATGCCGAGTGTGCAGCCTGAGACATCCAACTGTATAATTAAGCACAAGGCAAACTAGGCCACAACAGCCAAATGTCCAAATTGTGGAGGCAAACATCATGCCTGGAGCACAACCTGCTCTGCACGGAAAGAAAAAGTGCAGACAGCTCAGGCCAGGATAAACACACAGACCAGCACCACATACACCAACACCAACGTCTGGAACACTCGTGCACAGCCACAACACTCACTCTCACAGAGAAAAATTTCCCAAATCTATTAATTCCAAATCAGAAAATACACAAAAGTGCTGCAGAAATACAGCAAATGCAAAAGAGCAAAAAACAGTTAATTTCGTAATCAACACAACAGATGTACAGTTTTACCACCGAGGTCCAGCTGAAAAACATTGTGAAGATCATGGCAGAGACCATTATCAATTGCCTACAGATGACGCAGAACGCCTCACAACAACAGACTCAAGAAATCACTTGTGTGATAATGGAGAAGATCGTGCAGCAGACCACAGTTGCACAAGACATAGACAGTCTGAGACAAGACGGAGCACAAGAGGACAAACAACGCAACATGGACATACAGACTACCAACAACAGTCGGGTAGTCAACACACCAGAACATCAACATTTACAACAGCAACTGCAAGAAGCAGTGACCACCCACGATCAACAGAATCTTACAACACAAGAGACAGACACCAACAGCCAATGCAGTCTGATATGTAACAACACCAACAAAGTAGTATTGCACAGCAGAGATGCACAGGTTCCAACAACACAAGAGGCAGGCATGAACAATCAATGCAGCCCAATATGCAGCAACATCAACAACGAAATACTGGATGGCAGAGATGCACAGATTCCGACAACACAAGAAACGGCCCACGAGCAATCAATGCAGTCCGACATGCAGCAATACCAACAACAAAGTGATGGACCACAGTTATGCACAGATTCCAACAATGCCGGGGATGACCACGAGCAATCAATGCAGTCCGATTTGCAGCGACACGACTTGCGAGTTGGAGAATATAGAGGTCGATTCCGAAGAGGAGTACTAGAACAGGCAGCATCAACCGAAACCGTAGTCTGGCCATTACCAATACTGCAGTGGAACATACAAGGTCTTGGAAATAAAAACCACACACTTCAGGAGGCTGCAATCAGCATGAAAGCAGATATAATCGTTTTGGAAGAAACTCTTTTCCCTGCCACGAAATCCTTCAGATTAGCTGGATCAGTACTGTTATGCCGTATGAGCAGGGAAGACAAAGAGGGTTAATGACCCTAGTCAGGAACACCATACCCAGCAAGAAAATAGACCCAGTTTCATGTGGGGATGAAGTAAAGGTATTAGCAGTGACAATGAATATGGCTAATATTGAGCTCCTCATATACAACATCTACGAGCCCCCTAAACATAAATTAGAAGCAGGGGCAGTGCTTGCCTTGGCCAAGCAGGAAAATGTAATTATTGCTGGGGCTTTTAATGCTCATCATCAAGAGTTAGGTGCGACTGGGCCAGCTAATGCAGATGGGCGCCATTTTGCTACAGCTCTACAAGAAGTACCTGAAATTACACTTCTCAACACTGGGGAACCCACTCACATTCTAGGAGGTTCCCTTGATCTTACATTAATCTCAACAGCACTCCAGCATCAGGCGAAGTGGGAAGTAGACCCGGTGATCACAAGATAGATCACCAGTGACCACTATGCTACTGTCACAACACTAAACATAGAACGTCCTCCTACACCACCTGCACAACCTAGGTGGAATTTAAGAAAGGCCAATTGGAATATATACCAAGAACTTGAAAAATGGTATGCAACATACACGCCACCTGAGGATTTGAACATACACGAGACCAATCTGCAGGAAGACATTGCAGCTGCTGCAAACAAAGCTATTCCAATCATTATCACAGGAAACACAAAACGAAAGAACTATTGGTTCTATAGTAATGAAGTTAAAGAACAGAACCACAGAGTCAACATCTTCAGAAAACATCTAAAGAGAAACCCCACACCAGAAGGAAGAACTCTGCTAAGAGCGGTGATATCTGAAGCAAGACGAGTTTCTAGAGAAGTAAAGGAGGCAAGATGGTTTGAGTGGTGTCAAACTCTAAATGAACATAGTAGTCTTGGCAAAATATGGGGTCAGATTAAAACTATATCAGGTCGACCAGCCCGGCCACAGGCATGTATTCAACCATTGCAGGAGGCTGAGAGACTTTCTCTCCAATTTGCAGAAAGAACAGCTTCATATCAGCTTCCTGCAATGGTTAGAAGGCAGCAAGAGCAATTAAAACAAGAAAGGTTGACAGCCAATCATGAGAGCATAGCTACAAATGACAAATATGATTGTCCCTTCAGCAAACAAGAACTAATCAGAGCCAAAAAAGGTGGTAAGGACACTGCACCAGGTGCTGATAACATTACATACTCAATGATCGCACATGCATGTCCTGCTGAAGAACAAGGAATATTGGACGTCATCAATGCATCTTGGCAGCAAGGCAAACTACCAACCTCTTGGAAGAAAGCAGACATCATACCGATTCCTAAGCCGAAAGAACCTGGCAATTACAGACCCATTTCATTAACATCATGCATTAGTAAAACTGCAGAACAGATGGTCTTATATAGGCTACTGTGGAAGACTGGGGACCTTCATAAACACATATTTAGCTTCACTAGAGTAGTAGGTACTGCCAACTGCATAGCAACATTACTAGGAACAGTTAACTCAGGTCCAGCTATAGTGATCTTTCTTGATTTAGAAAAAACATTCGAACTTGCAAGCCCGCAAGCAATTTTACACACCTTAGTTAAAAAAGGCGTAAAAGGAAATATGCTAGCTAGGATTCAAGTTTACCTAAGTCACAGGTATGCCAGAGTAAAGTTACAAGGACAAGTGTCGGACTACCACTTGCATGAAAATGGGATTCCACAAGGAGAAGTCCTCAGTCCTAGTCTTTTTAACATCCTTATGGAAAACCTCATTACCATGACATTTCCAAAAGGGGTTAAATTGCTAAGCTATGCTGATGATATAGCATTAGTCATTACAGGTCCTTCACTTCTAAATAAAGCACAAGGTGCATTAGATAAAGTAACATCTGAATGCAGCATTTTAGGGCTAAAAATATCCGCACAGAAGTCTAAGGCAATGAGACTAGGCGGCAACACTCCAGACAGGCACCTACACATTCAAGACATTAACCTTCAGTGGGTTACACAATATCAATATCTCGGAGTGTGGATAGATTCTAAAATGACATTCAACAAGCAAATTCAATATCTGAAGGAGAAAGCAAAATCACAACTAAATATAATGAGAGCAATCACAGGGCCCCGTCTAGGAGCGGGACACAAAGTGTTAAGAATGTTTTACATACACGCCGTTCGTTCCCTAGTTGATTATGCAGTGCCTGCCTTGCTCACACTCTCCCGGTCAGTGGGCAAACATTGAGGTTATTCAAAACGATGCAATGCGAGTCATAACAGGAGCTCCCAGATGGACTAAAATACTGAACCTAAGACTAGAAACCAAGCTAACGTCGATTGAAATAAGGGTAAAAGGGATTGCTGCGTGCATGCTGACAAAGATATTGACTAGACCTAGAATCAGTTCACTTAAAGATATAATCACTGGAGCACTAACTCGGAACAGAAGAGCCTCCAATAGCAACAGGTGGACCCATTGTGCGATAAACATCATCAATACATTCAATATAACAAACACAGTCACTGAGAAGGGTGTCGACGAAATACATGCAGACTTTGTTACGCAAGCCCCTTGGGCATCTCTGCCAGCAGACTTTAAAATTATGGCTCTTGAAGGAAAAAAGAACCAGACTAATCCTCATATGCTATGTAACATTGCACAGATGCATATAGAAACAAACTTGGCATCTGACAGCTTCACTTACTTCACGGATGGATCAGTAGACCAGCAGGGACAAGAAACCGGAGCTGCAGTTAAAGCAGGAAACTCTGTAAATAGTTGGAGACTCTCAAATGGGTGTTCGACTTTACAGAGATGCTAGCTATTCAAAAGGCTTTGGAACATGCTCTTGCTGAACACCGACAACATGTTATCATTCATTCAGATTCGAGAACTGCCATTGAAACCTGACATGAACACATGTGATAACATACATCTGATCACAAATGTTATATCATTAATGCAAACACTCAAACGACAAGGCCGACGAGTACTTATCAACTGGGTGCCAAGTCATGTGGGAATAATAGGAAATGACATTACAGACGAAGCTGCAAAACTTGCAACTAAGAGAAGAAATGTTTACATTTACATACCACAGAGTCTATCACAGATTAAGAAAGTAATTAGAAACAGAGCACTGTAAAAGATGTACAGTGACCACAACACAGCAGTTGCAACATCAGGATCTGCGGGTTGGTACAAGAATTCAACCAACTACGAACCACTTAGTTTGATGAAAGGGAGCAGTAGAGCAACAGAAGTACACTTACATCGCATCTGGCTTGGATACCCATGTGCATGGGAAATAGGCTTACAGGTTCCGGAAGATGAGAGGAAATGTCAGCACTGGAGAAATGCCCGACAGACCACTGGAACATTATCTAACACAGTGCACAGTTACTACCACAACAGACCACTGGAACATTATCTAACACAGTGCACAGTTACAAACCCATTAAGATTTCAACTTAGATTCAATAGAGCAGAAGTTGTTAAACACATGGAACAAAATCTTACTAAAGCGACCATACGAGTCATAAATACTCATACTCCGCCCAAGTAAAACAGAAACAAGCAACACTTAGTGGGCCAGCCATAGGCTTAGGGCCCGCCCAGTGGGCCAGCCAGAGGCTTAGGGCCCACGCAGGAATATCCCTGAAAAAAAAACAGCGGCAGTGGTTGGGGGCCCCTGGAGTCCTTGAAACTAGCTCTTACATTATTAATATCACTTACCTTTGAGCACAAACACCTTCAAGTATGATGGTACTTGTGAATGAAGTAAATTAATTATGACCTCTAGTACAGATATTAATCAATACTTTAAATGCCCAACTCAGAATAGTAATGTGAACTAGAACCAACAGATATTATAGCAATCTTCACCTCTGAATGTAACTAAGCTTCTGTCAAACTTAATTTCACCGAAATTAATATGCTCTTCACAGTATTATGTCACATCAAATACGAGAAAATAAGTGCAAAAATATTCATATACAGAAAATGTTTTAGCAATAATAAGAGAATTTTACATGTTTCTTAGAACAGGTATAGATAATTTATCCCCCATATTCAAGAGTTATGGGGATAAATGATCTATCTGTTTTTCCCGATGTCGTCTGCGGCCTCCGTCACGTGTGCTATTAGGTGCGGGACTGCACTTGGTATCACAGCAATTCTAACTTATGAACCCAGAACTGTTCTCAGAATGCCGTACAGTTCCGTGGGGGCACAGGCTACGGAACTACCGACGGTTCCAACTGCCAATAGTTTTATTGCGCTACATTCTTGCACCTTGCTGAGTTTCACGACAAAACTTCTCCTACATGATGTAGTAAGTCACTCCTGGCATATAATTCAATATATATACTGCAGAGGACCAGACGAGGCGACGAAATCCCGCCAAAATACTCCAGATGCGATGATACGGAGTCGCCTCATTTTGGGGAAATGTGATTGGACGGATGCAGGGGTGTGTTCAATCTGACCAATCAGAGAGCGCCCCCTTGGCGTGACGTAGTTTGACCTCAGCGTCCTAGGCTCTAGGCGCGAAGCCGCCAGCTGTCACTAGCCACCTAGAGGACAAAGTGACAGGAAGTGTCGCACGTCGGTCCCACGAAGGTGTAGTTTAAGTCACCTGGCGGGAAGTTAAGCTTAGCAGTACTCGAGGAGCAGCGTAGAGGAGTCACCGGTCAGTTTCTAGGGGAAGATTTGGAGAGCTGGACTGTGACAGGTCACAAGAAGCTCCGTGACATTGGTGTACACCTGTGTGTCTCACGAGGCGGTGTTGGGGGATTGAGAGTCGACCCGCGGGCCGTTCCAGGTGGAGGATACTGTGGGAAGCAGAGGGTGGCAATCCTTGTCAACGTGTCTCAGCAGCACAGCAGCCCTGAGGCAAAACAACTTTCCCAGCCACGTCACCTCTAAGACATGGGAGAAGAGGACCAGTAATCAATGTGGAAGATAGACGAAGGTCTGGGAGACATTCGCAGAATAGCATTCTGCGAACAGGATCTTTAGAGGTCAGTCGTCGGCCGATCAACTAGGAGGGAGAAGAGATCCTTGACTTTACTAAGGACAGAAGATGAACTCTGCAGGAACCACACAGGTGTCCTGGTGGGAGCAGAAACTGCAACAGGCTGGTAAGACTGAAGCCAATGTTATTCGGTAGTGAGGTAGATTGAATTCCCTGTCTGTGATGAAGTGAAAATAAATTGTTTTTATAGCGCAGATTGATATTCTTGTGGCAAGATCGAGCAGGCATATATACATTTAATACATATTACAGAACTCGTTGATTTATACCCGTACTGGGTCTGGTGATAAGACAATAAAGGTAAAAACAAGGGGGATACTTAGGGGTAATATAATAATTTAACACATATATATACATTTAAGTATATGTATGAATTGGTGATACACTAGAATTTGCTTGCTCGTGAATAATGTCATTGCTGAGGCGATCAAGGCAACTATTATGTGAGAGGATTTATAGTAACATTCTTTACTGGAAAACCTTTAGTAGAGTAAATGCCTAGTAATTGTTGAGAGGTGTTGCCAGTGTTACAGAGTTTCACCGCGGGGTGTTGCCACACAGTGACAGTTAATATATTTTCAGCCCTAAGCCAAAACCCCCTAAGCCTTTGATTTCCAGTAAACTATATATACTCTTTTTTATTATTTCGATTTATTCCTATCTTTACTATCTATACTGTTTGCCTGAGGTTGGTTGGAACACTGAACGCGATTAAGAAAATTGAGGCTACTTACCACTGTACCAATTTAAATTATCTTGCCTTGATTAAAGTACTAACCAGAGTGGCGACCTAGGCTATTGTGGTGGGCAAATCGGCAACAAGGAGCCCATGACAGAGCCCCTGTAGGTATAGATTGGAGACCTGGGAACAGCCGGTGTACCTCACCTCCGGATACAAGGCTGAATGAGGGACTTCCCCGTGAGTGATTGAGGTGCTGCCTTTAAGTAAACAGTGGCACTGTAGGAGTGGAGTAAGACCCCGGAGGCTACCACACTACAAAGTGTGTATTTCCCAACTGCCACCAGACATGTTGTTGGTTTAGGGGCGGAGACGGCAGTCGTGCTGGATGTGCCCCGGCATTCCATACACACAAACACACACACGTTCGTCTTGCTTTTCACTCTTCGTTGTGCTTCAGCACTTTTCTAAATTAAATTATTTTCTATTTACAATTATTAGGATTATATACTTTTTAAGTGGTTCTAAATTCACTTTTCTATGGTTTTCAAGCACTAAAAAAGCTTATTTACATTGGGCATTTGCTTATCGTTATTCTCAACACTAATAATTATTTCTAGAGCCCTTAAAAACACCAACACGCAAAACAGATACTAGGAATGTTGTAACATTCGTTATAAACAGCAGTATTAATGCAGAGAGCAAGAGTTTCAGAGCCTCATTTCTATGATACCAGCTCATATAGTTATTGTCCAGCATGATGGTACACACAAGGCAGCTGAAACTGTTTGTGATAAGCCTGAAATTGAGTTGGATATGGGCATTCCAATCTCTGCTGTAAAAGCCGCAATATTTCAGGAAATTAGGGAAGACAGAAGAGCAGTTACTGACACTCAAAGGCCAGAAAGCAGGAGTATAAAGGGCCATGACGTTTAGAATAGAGAAGTATTTGTACGGGCAGCATAAAACATCCACTAGACAGTATAATATTGTAATTGCCAGAATTAGGCTGGGATATCGACATCTAGATGGCAGGTGGCTGCAGGTAATGAATCTCCCAGTGGTGAACATTCTAATTGTAAACTATGAGAACAAGAGCTAAGACATACTCTCCAACACTATATCTGTTTGCTCTGTTCCAGATTGCTCTGTTATCAGTGATTTCAGACCAAATGGAATGAGGTACTTTGAGCTCTGTAATTACTTCATACACTCAGGAATATTGGAAGATATTCTTGTGCTGTACCCAGATTTTGCTAGTGGAGGCTAATAGATCAGCCTTACATTCCATGAACCGTCCTGTGAGATGGGGATATTAGACGACTTAAAGCTAGATTTTGATCTACGCTGTGAAATCTTTCATACAGAATAGGGCAGCAGCACATTGCTGTTTATAGCTAAGCTTGTTAAAAAAAAATAATATAGCGCAAGCGCACACATCTAGACAATAATACGCCACTTAGTGGCGCCAGTTTCAAATTATAGCCTCATGTACAATTTATCATTTTCACACAAAATAAGATTTCCTTAAGTTTTATCACAATACTAACTTTGCAACCCGTTCTCGCAAATTTAATAAGTCAATATTGACTTATTAGTTGCGTGCATAGGTGACATACTAAACATAATAGTTTCCCTTGAAAAGCTTCATAGAAAACACCGACCTTACCTAACCTACTTAGTATGTTAAAATAAGCATCTTATAGCTTCGTAATTACAATTGTTACTTAACCTATTATAGGTATAGGTTAGGTAATAATTGTAATTACGAAGCAATAAGATGCTTATCTTAACATACTAAGTAGGTTAGGTAAGGTCGGTGTTTTCTATGAAGCTTTTCAAGGGAAACTATTATGTTAAGTATGTCACCTATGCACGCAACTAATAAGTCAATATTGACATTAAATTTGCGAGAACGGGTTGAACTTTCCTAAGTAACAATCTTATCCTATTATCTCACACTTTCAATAAACTACAAGACGTTGAAATGCAACTTTCTCTAAAGCATTCATTGCATTGCAACACTATATATGTTTTTTTAATTATTGTAACACCATATTTGTTTATATTCATTGCAATTGCAACTAGTTTTGTTTACAAAAATTCATTCTTCTTTTTATTTTCTAACTCTTCATTTTTCTTATAATTATTATATAATTGAACAACACCTCATTACTTTACCAGTTTATTAAAAGACTTACTGAATGACAGTTTTTGTTAATTGTCGCCATGTGTTATATATAGGATATGACATGATATATGGATACGATATAGACCTGGATGATCTAGTCTTGAGCCCGGGGTATAACAGTCTGGGCGATCCAGGGTGAGGGGAATTCAGGTACACACGTCTGACGACCTTCAGGGCTCCAGACGGGAACCTGAGGAAGCCCAAATGCTTCAATATCAAGTTCCAGCATTAAGATGATTTGTCAAAACACTTCCAGCTGCTGTTTAGCCCCCGGTCTGATGTTCCTGCTAGCCTCTGTCAGCTGCTACTGCTAGCCCCTGTCAGCTGCTACTGCTAGCCCGTGTCAGCTGCTACTGCTAGCCCCTGTCAGCTGCTACTGCTAGCCCCTGTCAGCTGCTACTGCTAGCCTCTGTCAGCTGCTACTGCTAGCCCCTGTCAGCTGCTACTGCTAGCCCCTGTCAGCTGCTACTGCTAGCCCCTGTCAGCTGCTACTGCTAGCCCCTGTCAGCTGCTACTGCTAGCCCCTGTCAGCTGCTACTGCTCTCCTCTGTCAGCTGCTACTGCTATCCTCTGTCAGCTGCTACTGCTAGCCCCTGTCATCTGCTACTGCTAGCCCCTGTCATCTGCTACTGCTAGCCCCTGTCATCTGCTACTGCTAGCCCCTGTCAGCTGCTACTGCTAGCCCCTGTCAGCTGCTACTGCTAGCCCCTGTCAGCTGCTACTGCTAGCCCCTGTCAGCTGCTACTGCTAGCCCCTGTCAGCTGCTACTGCTATCCTCTGTCATCTGCTACTGCTATCCTCTGTCAGCCGCTACTGCTAGCCCCTGTCAGCCGCTACTGCTAGCCCCTGTCAGCTGCTACTGCTAGCCTCTGTCAGCCGCTACTGCTAGCCCCTGTCAGCCGCTACTGCTAGCTTCCCACCATAATTGCTAGTTAGACTGTAAGCTGTTGTTGTGGTCATAATAACCCCCCAGAGTATGGTAGAACTTGAATCTAACACAAATCAAAGCATGTTAAAAATCATAAGTTCCTCACATACTTACTGAAATGTGTCTGCTCTCTGCTGTCTACACGTAGGAGCGTGGAACAGTCTGCGACCGTCTGCGGCGCTGTCTGCTGCCCAAGAAGTCTTTCTTCCTCCCCCAAAAGTCCTGTGGACGGACAGGCAGACCTTAGCGCACTTATTGTATCTTGACAATCATGGGTTATCTGCTGGCCTACAGTGACTATGAGGGGAGAGACTGTGACCACAGTGCCTGGCCTACAGTGACTATGAGGGGAGAGACTGTGACCACAGTGCCTGGCCTACAGTGACTATGAGGGGAGAGACTGTGACCACAGTGCCTGGCCTACAGTGACTACGAGGGAGAGACTGTGACCACAGTGCCTGGCTACAGTGACCACAAGGGAGAGACTGTGACGACAGTGACTATGAGGGAGAGACTGTGACCACAGTGCCTGGCCTACAGTGACCACGAGGGGAGAGACTGTGACCACAGTGCCTGGCCTACAGTGCCTATGAGGAAGAGATTGTGACCACAGTGCCTGGCCTACAGTGACTATGAGGGAGAGACTGTGACCACAGTGCCTGGCCTACAGTGACTATGATGGGGAGACTGTGACCACAGTGCCTGGCCTACAGTGACTATGAGGGAGAGACTGTGACCACAGTGCCTGGCCTACAGTGACTATGAGGAAGAGACTGTGACCACAGTGCCTGGCCTACAGTGACTATGAGGGAGAGACTGTGACCACAGTGCCTGGCCTACAGTGACTATGATGGGGAGACTGTGACCACAGTGCCTGGCCTACAGTGACTATGAGGGAGAGACTGTGACCACAGTGCCTGGCTACAGTGACCACAAGGGAGAGACTGTGACCACAGTGACTATGAGGGAGAGACTGTGACCACAGTGCCTGGCCTACAGTGACTATGAGGGAGAGACTGTGACCACAGTGCCTGGCCTACAGTGACTATGAGGGAGAGACTGTGACCACAGTGCCTGGCCTACAGTGACTATGAGGGAGAGACTGTGACCACAGTGCCTGGCCTACAGTGACTATGATGGGGAGACTGTGACCACAGTGCCTGGCCTACAGTGACTACGAGGAAGAGACTGTGACCACAGTGCCTGGCCTACAGTGACCACGAGGGGAGAGACTGTGACCACAGTGCCTGGCCTACAGTGACTACGAGGGAGAGACTGTGACCACAGTGCCTGGCCTACAGTGACTACGAGTGAGAGACTGTGACCACAGTGCCTGGCCTACAGTGACCACGAGGGGAGAGACTGTGACCACAGTGCCTGGCCTACAGTGACCACAAGGGAGAAACTGTGACCACAGTGCCTGGTCTACAGTGACTACGAGGGGAGAGACTGTGACCACAGTGACCACGAGGGGAGAGACTGTGGCCACAGAGCCTGGCCTACAGTGACCACGAGGGGAGAGACTGTGACCACAGTGCCTGGCCTACAGTGACCACGAGAGGAGAGACTGTGACCACAGTCGTCAGTCATCACTAACCTGCCCAGAAAACCATCTTATATTATTGTTTACACTGAGAAACCTTCCAAATATTCATCTGTTGGTGTGTTGTTTTCCCTCATTAATTCACCGCTAATAACCAGGGCCCAGATTCACGAAGCAGTTACGCAAGCACTTACGAACCTGTACATCTTTTCTCAATCTTTGGCGGCTTTGTTTACAATTATTAAACAATTAATGGGCTCCGAAGCACCAGGAGGCTGTTTATAACAATAACAACAGTTGAATGGCAAGTTTTCATGCTTGTAAACTGTTTAATAAATGTAAACAAAGCCGTCAAAGATTGAGGAAAGATGTACACGTTCGGAAGTGCTTGCGTAACTGCTTCGTGAATCTGGCCCCAGTTCTTTTCTTGTAGCCTATCTAATGTCAGAGCCTTACTACTTATTTCTGTTCTTGGCTTCCAGACACTGTCTTTATTGCTTCTTCTTAAAGAAACATGTGTTCCTTTAAGATCTTCTTCGCACTTTTCCAATCCTCTTGTAACTTCTTTTGTTTGAGTTGCTCTTGAATTTTCTCTTAGAAATGCCTTGCCAAATTCTATATATTGAGTGGCCTGTATTTCTTTAAATTTTCTTAATTTTTGTCCATATTTATCTGTTTGTTTATTTCTTTAAATTCATTCCCTTTCATTTTCCATGTCTTATTTTCTTTCACGAGTGTCTTTATTGTTCTTCCTGTGTTCTTACCTTATCTGTCAAGCTGGCAACTTCCTGTTCTTGCTGCAAAATGTGTTCTTGCAAAAAGGTATTTCTACTTTTTAGAACTTAAATTTTTTTATCTAATTAAAGAAGTTTTTCTTCGTAAGTTTCTTAGCAGATCTTCTATTTTCACTAATCTGCCCATTAACCTTGCATTTCTAATTTCCTTCTGAGTGAAGCCCTTGAAATTATTCTCTTGTTGACATTTCAGTATCCATGGCATCGGCCATTTCGTTTAGATTGACCTAACTATAAGTTCCCCAAACTTCTACATCTTTTTTCAAATAATTGTCACTTTCCCCCTTGTATAAATGATGTTGGTCTGTTTGTGATGTCTGGGCCACCACTTGAGAACCTCTCAACCACACTACCCTTCAACCTGTCCTCTAAAAAATAACGTCGCTTTTGGCCGTTTTCCCGTATGGCCGAAAGTGGACGTAATTTGAAAATGAAAAAAATAATTAAAATAAATTTGGGATTTTTTTTCAACAACAGTAAGTTAAGGGTCCTGTGATAGGTTAGGTGGGCAGGAAATTCTCATAAAGTTTCAAAACGTTGTGAAAAACGTTAATTGAAAGCTTCCTCTTCTAACCTTACCGAGTAAGCCAGACGACTCAAACAGAAAACGGGGCAATCCGTCACTTTTGTGAGTCAATTTCATTTCAAATTACGTCCAAATTTGGCCATAGTGCCGCGCATACGAGCCAAAAGTGACGTTATTTTTAAGAGGACGGGTTGACCACCTAGACCTAGATGATGTGTAAATCCTTCAGCTCCAAGTGACTTGTTGTCGTGTGTGTGTGTGTGTAATTACCTAAGTGATTACCTAATTACAGGATAAGAGCTACGCTCGTGGTATCCCGTCTTCCCAGTACTCTTTGTCGTATAACACTGTGAAACTATTGACGGGTTTGGCCTCCACCACCTTCACACATAGCTTGTTCCAACCGTCTACCACTCTGCAAAATACAATTTTGTAATATTTTTCGGCACCTCTGTTTTCTTACCATGAATCTGTGTCCTCTTGTTCGTGAAGTTGCTGGTTTATGGAATTCCTCTTTATCAATTTGGTCTATTCCTGTTAGTATTTTGTAAGTGGTGATCATATCACGTCTCTTTCTTCTATCTTCTAGTTACGGCGTGTTTAACGCCTCTAGTCTCTCCTCGTAACTCTTGTTTTTTCAGTTCCGGAAGCTATTTTGTAGCATGCCGCTACACCTCTTTTCCAGTTTGTGATTCTTGTGATTTGGTCACCATACAACTGCTGCATATTCCAATATTGGTCTCACAAGTTATCAACAGTTTCTTTAGTATTTCACCATCCGTATAATTAACAAGTCTGACGTTGGAAAGCGACACATAGGCTCCTCTCACAATGTTCTTTATGTGTTCCTCTGGCGACAGCTGACTATTCAAAGCCTCCCCCCCCCCCAAGTCTCATTCCTTATTAAAGTTTTGTAATTCCTTTCCACACAATTTGTAAGTTGTGTGTGGTCTATTTTCTCAGATTCCACATTCCATAACCTGGGATTTATTCACATTGAATTCCATTTGCCACTTGACGCTCCAAGCACTTATTTTATCTAGATCAATTTGAAGGGCATTACATCGTCTGTTTCTCCTGTCTTCCCCAATATCTTAGCGTCATCCGCAAACATGTTCATATAATTCTGTATTCCTTCTGGTGGATGGTTTATGTAGACGATGAACATTACTGGTGCAAGAACTGAACCCTGTGGTACTCCGCTAGTAACACTCCTCCAGTCAGATACATTGTCTCTGATTACTGCCCTCATCTGTCTGTCAGTTAAAAAATTTGTATCCATGTCAAAAGTCTCCCTGTCACCCCTCTCGATTCTCGTGTATTCACCTAGTTGTGTTTGCGGGGGTTGAGCTTTGCTCTTTCGGCCCGCCTCTCAACTGTCAATCAACTGTAACTAACTAACAATTCCCCCCCCCCACACACACACCCAGGAAGCAGCTCCGTGACAGCTGTCTAACTCCCAGGTACCTATTTACTGCTAGGTAACAGGGGCATTCAGGGTGAAAGAAACTTTGCCCATATGTTTCTGCCTGGTCCGGGAATTGAACCCGGGCCACAGAATTACGAATCCTGCACGCTGTCCACTCAGCTACCAGACCCTGTGTGTGTATGATTAAAAGTTAGTTCCCCGAGATAGATAAGCCTATAGTTACTTCTAAAAATTACCCACATCGATGGTAACAGTTTACAACTGCTTTTCATTGTGATCTTTCTTATATAGGATGATTATAGGACAAATATCCCCAGATGTGTAGGTAAGAATACACATTATATGTTTCTAATCATTGAAGATTAGTACTTAAACTTACCACAACATCATGGTTCAAAAAGCAGTATTTGGATCCATGAAAATCACTAGGCAAGAGAGAGTCGTCCTCGTCTTCCATTTCGTCGTAGACGTCGAAATTGTAGTCACATGGAACACCTTCCATGCTGTTAAGAAATCTGGATTCTGGTTTGCAAGTTTGTTCTCCAGACAAGTCCACCTCAGTGACTAAGATCTCTATGAGTGGCGTTTGCTTTTGCTGCTGGTCGGTTGTCTTCCGGAGACCCACAACCACATCTTCAAAGTACTCATTACAGAAGACCAGGTCTTCATCAGACGCGTCGTGTTGAGTTGGCGAGGTGGGTCTGGAGTCGGAGTGTGAGGCTATAGGTAGGACCAGGTCCTCATCAGACGCGTCGTGTTGGGTTGGCGAGGTGGGTCTGGAGTCGGAGTGTGAGGCTATAGGTAGGACCAGGTCCTCATCAGACGCGTCGTGTTGGGTTGGCGAGGTGGGTCTGGAGTCGGAGTGTGAGGCTATAGGTAGGACCAGGTCCTCATCAGACGCGTCGTGTTGGGTTGGCGAGGTGGGTCTGGAGTCGGAGTGTGAGGCTATAGGTAGGACCAGGTCCTCATCAGACGCGTCGTGTTGGGTTGGCGAGGTGGGTCTGGAGTCGGAGTGTGAGGCTATAGGTAGGACCAGGTCCTCATCAGACGCGTCGTGTTGGGTTGGCGAGGTGGGTCTGGAGTCGGAGTGTGAGGCTATAGGTAGGACCAGGTCCTCATCAGACGCGTCGTGTTGGGTTGGCGAGGTGGGTCTGGAGTCGGAGTGTGAGGCTGGAGGTGGTTTAGGTGGGTCCTGGAGAATATCGCCAAAGTCTACGTAGCACCAGTCGTCGTCCTCGTCGTCCACGACACGCTCTGTGAGTTAAACCTATCGTCATGAAGTTGCCAAGTCATTATCAAATACATTACAGCTCTGGAGGTTGGAACTGTACAAGTTTAGGGGCGAGAAAAAGGATAAAACTTTTTGGAAGTTTATATCCAAGATATAACTTTGCTTTTTGCTGTTGTGGTGGACAAGTGGGAGGCTAATAAAGCCTACTGGGTGTGCAGGCTTCCCTCACCCCTAACAAATCCACCACTGACATTCAGCGTTAATATATATGTTAAAGCTACGCTGGCCAAGCTCTGAGAAAAGGGTGAAGAAGCCTTCTTGAATCTCAACAGATTATGGGTGACAAGAACTCGACCACTCTTGGAATAGTGCAATTATAGTTCCATTCCCAAACTTAAAGACCCAGGAAATCCCAAACCCACCTCATTAACAAGCTGTTTGACCAAAACTGCAGAAAAAATGGCTCTTTATCGAATTTAATGGAAAGCTAATCAACAGCACCAAAATATGTTTGCTTACAGAAAAGGTCTCGGAATCACAGAATGCCTTACCTCCCTCCTGAATCAAATCAATGACCAACCAGGAATCCTTATTTTTCTGGTCCTAGGAAAAACCTTCGAGCTAGTCAATGCTCCAGCTACACTGTGCTGCCTTGTGGATAAGAAAATCATTTACAGAGAAGCTAAAGTCAAATTCCAAGAAAACAGAGGCTGGACAATGGGACTCCGCAGGGAGAATACTATGGCCCCTTTCTCTTCAACTGTCTCATGGAACAATTCATGAAACTCAAGTTACCAAAAGCCAAACTGCTTAACTATGCAGACGACTTTGTGGTCATCATCAATGGCAAAGCCGCCAGAAACCATGCACAAAAATGTCTAGATATTATCAGCAGGGAAGCGGAACGCATAGCAGTGAAAATAAACAGCAATAAAACAAATGTAATGGCCATTAAAATGAGAACTCAAGACATCAGACTCGCAATTCAAGGCCACGAAATTGAGTGGGTTACCTCTTTTCAATACCTAGAAGTCTTAATAGACAGCCAGCTGAAATTTGCACTCAAGAAATGTAATATCTTCGGCAACGCTGTAAAGCCAGAAACTCAGCTTAGCGCTCTCTGACCAGTCTTAGAGATGGTGCATCGCTACCAGTACTCAAAATGAAGCTCAACCAGTTAGCGTTCAAGCAGTTAGGTCACTCATCGACTGTGCTGCTCCTGCTCTTACATCCCTCAGTGATAACCAATGGGAGAAACTGGAATTGTCACAAAATGATGCCCTCAGAACAATGCTGGGAGCTCCTATATGGACGCGTCGAGAGAATCTAAGATTGGAAACGAACTTACCAGCCTTATAAAACAGGATCAAACAAAGAATAACCACCATAACAGCAAAACTTGTTGGAACCACCGTCAGACTGTCAATCAAAGATAGCATACACAGATAGCTTCACAGAAATCTTCAATATAGAACAAGTGCATGGACGGATAATCTGGTCAAGATTCGAGAGAAAGTGGACTTGAAACATATCCTTAGAAACAAAGGGAGAAGATAGACCATATCAATACTTTCGGCAACCTCCTCCATGGGAAGAATCGAGTCTAAAGATAATCACTGAAGGATTACCAGTTAAAAAAACAGCATGTGACCCGCAGAGGCTCAAGGAAGTAGTAGAACAACAAATGGAAACCATCTCAAGACCTACAACGACTCACATCTTCACAGACGGATCAGTTGATCAAGAAAAAGGTTCTGCTGGGGCAGCACTTTACACTACCAACCATGAAGCTTACTGGAGCATGAATAGTGGATGCTCAACATTGTAAACAGAATTATATGCCCTTAAGAAGGCCATAAATTATGCAATTAAGAATAATTTACAAGATGTCATCATTTATACCGACTTTAAATCTTCGCTCCAGGCATTGCTATCCAGCCAGGACAGAGTTAATATACAGTTCATCACAGAAATCCTACATATAGGAAAAGAAGCACACAATCTAGGGCTGTCAATCACCTTCAATTGGATACCAAGTCACATTGGCATAGATGGTAATGAAAAAGCAGACTCGCTAGCAAAAACTGCCACTGCTCTACCTGTTGTACAGGTTCAAATACCTCCAAGTTTTTCACAGATTAAGGCGCGAATCCAGAAGAAAATACTCCCAACTATCAATAGTCGCCAAAGTAGCGGAAGGAAGATCCACTGCGATGTGGTAGGAACAAGCCACTGGGTACTACTCTTTCAAGCCTGGCAAAAAGATATCCAGAGACATTGTAGTAGCCATACACAGACTCAGACTTGGTTACAAGTGCTGCTGGGAGGTAATAAACCCAATAGTTAGTGTGTCATATCTGTGGAACAGAAGCAGAGGCGCCACTATTACACTACCTAATGGAATGTGAAGCTACTGAAGCCCCGCACCTCAAACTCAACATTAATCCAACGACACCAGCTGCATCAGATGCAAAATCCACAGCCACTACAATGATTAAAAAAGCAGATGAAGAATGGGACACTAGTGAACTCTGTGCATCTATATCCGCTACCAAGATAATGTTATTAAAACAAGACTAAAACCAGTGCGCTAAAACAGAAATGGGAGAAAAGGAGGAAACCCCACTTTCATTTAAAACTTTGATCCAAGTATCACAGTAACAAGGTTATTGTGAATAACCGTACTCACTATAGCCAGTACTACATGGACAGTTCATTCTGAATAGCTAAATCTAAAACAACTACTACTACTACTGTCTCCTCAGTTAGAGCCCCACTCCTGTGCCAGGTAAGTCCGATAGGGGTTCACCATAGCCCGTGCTACTTGGAACTTTTTGTTCAGAGTAGCTGAATCTAAGACAACAACAACTGTAACTTTATTACGGGCATGAATTGCGATGAAACATCTGTGACCAAAATGGTCAGCGAGAGCTGTCAGGTATTGAGTTATGGGTCAGACGACTTCCAATACTTTGTACTTTTGTACAGTCAGTTTGGCTGAGTGGTTAAAGTACTGGACATGCCAAGGGGGCATGGAGGCCCCGGTTAATAAATAAATAAATAAATGTTTATTTAGGTAAGGTACATAATACATACAAGAAATTTTTACAAAGATTGGTTGACTTATAGGTAGAGCTAGTACATACAATGCCTAAAGCCACTATTACGCAAAGCGTTTCGGGCATTCGGGTTGACCGGGTTCGAATCGTTCAGGGGTCAAGAGTTTTCTGAGATATATATATATATATATATATATATATATATATATATATATATATATATATATATATATATATATGTCGTACCTAATAGCCAGAACGCACTTCTCAGCCTACTATTCAAGGCCCGATTTGCCTAATAAGCCAAGTTTTCATGAATTAATGTTTTTTCGTCTACCTAACCTACCTAACCTAACCTAACCTAGCTTTTTTTGGCTACCTAACCTAACCTTACCTATAAATATAGGTTAGGTTAGGTTAGGTAGGGTTGGTTAGGTTCGGTCATATATCTACGTTAATTTTAACTCCAATAAAAAAAATTGACCTCATACATAGAGAAAAGGGTTGCTTTATCATTTCATAAGAAAAAAATTATAGTAAATATATTAATTCAGGAAAACTTGGCTTATTAGGCAAATCGGGCCTTGAATAGTAGGCTGAGAAGTGAGTTCTGGCTACTAGGTACGACATATATATATATATACATATATATATATATGACATATATATATATATGATATATATATATATATATATATATATATATATATATATATATATATATATATATATATTATAAAATATAATTCAGATTCACAATAAGGTATTTCTTGTGTTCAGGTCCTTAATTAACAAATCAGTTAAGATGAAAAGGTACATTGTAGCAAGGTTTTATATATACAAATCACTACAATATAAATTGGCAGATGATTACACAGATAAGGATATATGTCTTAAGTACTAATATTGGGGGAGTGGGTAGTACAAGATACAGTATGAGTCTGAAGCACAAGGTAGGAAACTATGAGGATAAAATTAGGCACTTTTTGGTTTTACTTTTGAAAGGGGCATAGGCTGGACAATTTTAGAATTCGTCAGGGAGTAAGTTCCGAAGACTAGGTCCTTTTATTTGCATGGAGTGTTTTCACAGATTTAGTTTGACACTGGAGATATTAAACTAGATATTTATTTCTGGTGTGGTTATCATGGGTTCTATTACACCTATCAAGGAAAAGTTTCAGATCAAGATTAGCATTTAGGAACAAGTTTTTTTTAGACAGAAAATATAGTAGTCAAGCCTATTGATAATGGTATCCCTGCTGTTACGAGCGGGTTGTACAGGTTATAACAGACTAACATACCTGTAGTTAGAACAAGTTGATGAGGGTGATGTGTGGTGGGTGGTGGCAGTGTCATCACTCACACCTCCTGGTCCCTGGCGTCTCCACACTGCTCCTCACCTGGCGTCACCACACTGGTCACCACACTGGTCCTCACCTGGCGTCACCACACTGGTCCTCACCTGGCGTCACCAACACTGCGCCTCACCTGGCGTCACCACACTGGTCCTCACCTGGCGTCACCACACTGGTCCTCACCTGGCGTCACCACACTGCACCTCACCTGGCGTCACCACACTGCACCTCACCTGGCGTCACCACACTGGTCCTCACCTGGCGTCACCACACTGCACCTCACCTGGCGTCACCACACTGGTCCTCACCTGGCGTCACCACACTGGTCATCACCTGGCGTCACCACACTGGTCCTCACCTGGCGTCACCACACTGGTCCTCACCTGGCGTCACCACACTGGTCCTCACCTGGCGTCACCACACTGGTCCTCACCTGGCGTCACCACACTGGTCCTCACCTGGCGTCACCAACACTGGTCCTCACCTGGCGTCACCACACTGCTCCTCACCTGGCGTCACCAACACTGGTCCTCACCTGGCGTCACCACACTGGTCCTCACCTGGCGTCACCAACACTGGTCCTCACCTGGCGTCACCACACTGGTCCTCACCTGGCGTCACCAACACTGGTCCTCACCTGGCGTCACCACACTGCTCCTCACCTGGCGTCACCAACACTGGTCCTCACCTGGCGTCACCACACTGCTCCTCACCGAGGGCTGGCTCACAAGGACCCTCCACCAAGCTCAGCTGGCGGGGGAGTTAAACCAACATTTAGTATCTCACTAACCATTATGGTGTTAATCTTGCCCACTCTCACCAAATAATTCCTGAAATAGTTTTTGCATTTTCACAATTCTCACAGAAACCTTAAACTGCTATTTCCCAATTTCTACAATTCTGTTTAGAAAATTTGTCTTTACGGTTTAAAATATATGTTGCTAATATATTAATCAACATTTCAAGATGGTATATAGATACAGTAGGCCTACTCATGCATGTTATATGTGGCTTCATCTCTTATACTAACCATGTGGCACAACATATGTATATATATATATATATATATATATATATATATATATATATATATATATATATATATATATATATATATATATATAACTTTAGAACACTTTCCCACCAGGAGACTCGAACCCTAGCCAGCACAGAAGCCTTCCAGCAACTGGCATAACAGGTACGCCTTAACCCGCTCCACCACCTGCTCAGACCCTAAATATATATATATATATATATATATATATATATATATATATATATATATATATAACGTTATATACGGGTCTTTACTTAAGGGGGAACAGTTCCTAATTGACCAGATAGGTTTATTCAAGCATTCAAAACCCTCAAATAAGGACAACTCTACACATCACGAAGGCTGATAAGTCCAACTGTGTTGTCATCATAAATAAGAATGACTACGTCCAACAAAATGAACCTGTTATTGGATGACACAAACACTTACCTGTTAATATGCTAATAGAGATCCTATTGAAAACGTTATTACACAACTTAACAAAACTCTTAAAACCTTGCTGAAGAAAGTGTTGATTCCTAAGTTTTAAGTCGTTCCCCTTCCCTACCGTATCTATATATGGTCTTATTAAAACACAAAACCAATAATCCTGCAAGAACTATTATTATTTCTGTTGGGTCTGCGGGATACAAACTTTCCAAGTGGCTTGTCCAAGTCTTGTCGAGCACAGGCTGGAGTCGAGCACAGGCTGGAGTCGAGCACAGGCTGGAGTCGAGCACAGGCTGGAGTCGTGAACAGGCTGAGTCGAGCACAAACTGAAGTAGAGCACAGACTAGAGCCCAGCAGACTCTGGCCGAGGTTTGAGCAGCGCGCTGCTGCCCGTAAGAGCAACGTGTATTGTGGCGGTATACTGAGCCTGGGGCCGCTTGCCGCTGCCAACTCTCTCCCCCCGTTACCACATCTCGCCTGATTATTGCTTTAGTCTCACGCTTCTCCCACTATACATCTCTTTCATCAAGATATAACCATGTGCCTAAGTGTATACATGTATCAACTTGAATATTATGAGTTGATATAATCCCAGTTGCCTGATATTCGTTATTTGGCACAACGTGATGAAAGATTATCAGCCAGTAAGCAATGTGGCCGCTCCCTTGCGTTAACACAAAACATTGAGCAAGTATAGATATCATTCCTTTCCAAGCGGATACTATTCGGACGTAGTAAACATTAAGCTTCATTAATGGGATGTTTGTGTGTGTATATGACAGATGTTGGTGACGTGTTGGCGGGTATTGCCTCACATGATGACACGATTAGGGACGTCGAAATTCATTCCCAGTTTCATACAGTTACGGAATTATTGTCAAGAGGAATGAACTGACTCACTCGCTATTACTTATTTTTTGTGGCCTTATCCAATGTAGACTGGCTTCGTCATGTGTGGTAATCAATGTAGACTGGCTTCGTCATATGTGGTAATCAATGTAGACTGGCTTCGTCATGTGTGGTAATCAATGTAGACTGGCTTCGTCATGTGTGGTAATCAATGTAGACTGGCTTCGTCATGTGTGGTAATCAATGTAGACTGGCTTCGTCATGTGTGGTAATCAATGTAGACTGGCTTCGTCATATGTGGTAATCAATGTACACTGGCTTCGTCATATGTGGTAATCAATGTAGACTGGCTTCGTCATGTGTGGTAATCAATGTAGACTGGCTTCGTCATGTGTGGTAATCAATGTAGACTGGCTTCGTCATATGTGGTAATCAATGTAGACTGGCTTCGTCGTATGTGGTAATCATTGTAGGTTGCCCTCATTATGTGGTAAACAATGTAGGCTAGTTTCATCATATGTGGTAATCAATGTAGTAGTTCTGTTCATTTATTATGCACCCCATACCCATCTTGTGGGCGGTAGTGGAAAGGGTTACAGAGGCACATAATGGGCTCAGGGACTGAACCCCACAATTCATTTAGCTAAGCAAGTTACAATCTTGATGAGCTAGTTACAAAATTCAGTATAAGTCGTCACATCAACAATGGGTTCGAGATCGACCTCAAGTACAGGTTCTAAATTAAGCAACTGACATATGTGGAGAGTTAGTGTCACAATTGATATGTTTGTCCTGCACACCGCCCCCCATCCAGTGGGCAGCGGTGGATAGGTTACAATCACTCAGTTACTACCTACAGTTAGCAAACTGGAGATAATTGGCTAAAATTTCTGGTAGCAGATCATTTTGAATGAAATATTGACACATCGCTGGAACATTGGTTATAGAATTGTCTCTAAATTCCCGTATCTTTTCGCACTCCATCACATAGTGACGGAGGGTGTGCGAATAATTTTGTTGACACAGTTTACATTTGGTCAGGTCTACATCAGCAGATAATGAGAATTCCCAGAGATACTTGTAACCGAGTCTAAGCCGAGCAGTAGTAACATCTAGAAGTCTGCTGATTTTATTGGATGATCCATAGATGTGTGACTCCTCTTGCATGATAGTATGATGATAGATGGAATTACTGGTGTCAATTTCACTTTGCCTCAGATCTACAAGATCTTGTTGAAGTTCTCGGTGTACTGCTGCTCTCAGATTGCTCATTGACAATCCAAGGTTATACTCAGCGGCTCCTTTAAAGGCAGATTCTTTGGCTAACTTATCAGCTCTATCATGCATTCGGAGGCCATCATGAAATGAAGACCACATGAAATGGACTCTGTTACCATCCTTAATAATTTTGTTGTATTTGTGTCTAGCTTCGGACACGAGCATGTTACAGTTTTGTAGACTGGCTTCTACCTTATCTATCTTGTCAATTCCCCTGAGAATTTTGTATGTGGTGATTGTCTCCCCGAGCTCTTCTGTTTTCCAACGACGTGATGTGCAATTCCCGCAGCCTTTTCTCGTAACTCATGCCTCTTAGTTCTGGGACGAACCTAGTGGGATACCTCTGAACTTTCTTCAGCTTCGTCTTGCGCTTGGCAAGGTACGGGCTCCATGCTGGGGCCATATACTCCAGGATTGGTCATACATATGTGGTGTACAAGGTTCTGAATGATTCGTTACACTGGTTTCTGAATGCAGTTCTAATGTTAGCCAGCTTCGCATACGCCGATGATGATGATTTTGATGTCGGCTTCAGGAGACAGGTTTGGTGTGATATCAACTCCTAGATCTTTCTCTCTGTCCGTTTCGTGGAGGACTTCGTCTCCCATTCAGTATCCTTTGTCTGGCCTCCTGTTCCCTCCACCTAGTTTCATGACTTTACATTTTCTTGGGTTGAAATTTAGTAGCCATTTGTTGGATCATTCATTCACTTTGTCTTGGTTATCTTTTAGCCTTATGCTATCTTCCACGGTCTTAATCCCCATAATTTTTGTTTTATCGTCAGACATTGAGAGGAACGAGTCTATTATCTCTGGGAGACCAAAAGTATGTGTTTGTGGGAGAAACAAATTGGGAAAATGATCAGGGAAAGAGAAGGGCCTCAAAATAACAATACACTTAGGGTATATTACACTAACAGTAGATGTCTAAGAAACAAAATAAACGATTTAAATGCTCTTGTCTGCACAGAAAAAATAGATATTATTGCACTTAGCAAAACGTGGATGAATGTAGAAAATAGAGAGCTATTAGCTGAATATCAAATAAATGGATTTAAACTATTTCACACAGATAGATATATTAGACGAGGAGGTGGAGTAGCCATATATGTTAGGGACAATTTGTAATTTAGTCTCAAAGAGGGAATCAAAACTGAGCCACATACAGAAACTATTTGGATAGAATTAAACTAAAGAGCAAATAATCTTATATTAGGAGTTATATATAGGCCACCAAACTTAAACAGGGTGGAAGCAAAGCATCTATGGGATGAAATATCTAGAGCATCTAGGTCTAGCAGTATTTGTCATGGGTGACTTTAATTTTAGTGGAATAAATTCTTCTAACATAACAGAGAATAATGAAACAAAAGATTTTCTACAATTAATTGACGATTGCCTTCTTAACCAACACATTAAGGAACCAACGCGGGAAAATAGTATTTAGATTCAGTGTTAACTAACAGGGAAACACAAATTAATGTCATCAAAATAGGGAGTGAGCTAGGGAACAGTGATCACAAAGAAATCAGATTTAGCATAGAATGGAATAGATCTGTAGGAGAAAATTCTGTTATAGTGCCAGATTTTCGAAAAGCTGATTTCAATAGCCTAAGAAATATTTGGGTCAAATAGATTGGAAAGACTTGGGCATGGGCGGTGGGCCGGTTGTGCAGCGAGACATAAATCCAGTGATAAGTTTTGTATGTAAATGTCATATTTTTTTTATAAATGACATATTTTGTGTGTGAATGGCATATTTTTTGTGTAAATAATATTTGTTGTGCATAAACGTCATATCTGGTGTGTAAATGTTGTATTTTCTGTGTAAATGGAATATAGTGTGGAGTTGCTTTGAGCTTAAATGCTATATTGAGTGTAAATGTGTATGTGTTTTATACTGCGTGTTTTTGATTTTGTGTATTTTTAGTGTAAGTACAAGTGTTGCATTTTGTGTGTATGATGTTAAATTAATATATTTTTGAGCGCCTTAACACAATCTTAGAGTTTTATGAATAATTACAAATGTATTTATTTCAATGGGACATATACACCCTAATTTATCCATTTGAATATTAGGTATGTGGATATTTAATAATATTATTAACTTGCTGGAATATTAAGAATACCCAGTTTGCAATCAAGTAATAACGTGCTTGTCTTGGAAGCTAGACGTAGATATATAAGAATACTTAGCAAGAGGGTAAATATAAAAATGTTGTGGATTCCTTCTCACATTGGCCTGCAGGAACATGACAAAGTTGACGCCCTTGCTAATGCTGCAGTAAATAAAGACAGTATTGAACGGAATCTTGAGTTATCAAATAGGTCCCTTAAAAGTGTCATTAGACGAGAACTCCTGGATGAATTTGAAGAAAGTAGAACAGTGCAAACTGGAACTAGCAGGTCCATTGTTCATCACAATGAAATGTGTGAAGTAAAACATGTGTATGGGGCAAGTAACAAAGTCAGTAGACTAACAGATGTTGTCACAGCTCGTATAAGACTTGGCTACAAGTATCTCTGGCAGTTCGGCTTGTATAGGGATCTAGATGAAGTAAAGTGTAAAGTGTGTGGACATAGGCAGGGACACACACTCGAACACTATATCTTGGATTGTTGTAAAATTGAGCCTTTTAGAGATAAGTCTGAGCTCACTCTGTATGATATGGGGAGGATTTACTGGGCGCAAATCCTTAACTGTAGCCTCTGTTTAACTCAACAGTAAAATGTGTACTTGGATGAAAAAACGATTCTTCGCGGCAGGGGATCGTATTCCAGGGACTTGCCCGAAACGCTACGCGTACTAGTGGCTCTACAAGAATGTAACAACTCTTGTATATATCTCAAAAAAAAAAAAACAAAAAAAAAAAACAGGCTGTTGGACGCGGCTGCTCGCAGCCTGACGTACGAGTCACAGCCTGGTTGATCAGGTATCCTTTGGAGGTGCTTATCCAGTTCTCTCTTGAACACTGTGAGGGGTCGGCCAGTTATGCCCCTATGTATGTAGGGGACTGAGTATGTTATGTATGTAGACTGAAGATGAAGATGAAGCCACCCAAGAGGTGGCACGGGCATGAATAGCCTGTAAGTGGTGGGCCTTTTGAGCCATTACCAGTATCAAGAGCTGATACTGGAGATCTGTGGTGGTGCGACTGCACCCTGCGTGACGGGAGATGGCTCCCGTGTGTATGTAGACTGAGTATTTTGATGTGTTATATGCCACAGTAGGGTGTGAGGGGCAGGTTTTTGAGCGACTGTGAGACGTACACAGGACTAGCAGTGAAGGAGAAATGAAATAAAAATGTCTGAGTGTTGGTGTAGCCTGTTTGGAAAAAATATATATTTGCATGCACTTGGGAATA